ATTTTCTATTTAGTTCAGTATCCCTTTACTATATATAAGGACACTATTGTATTAGTACTTTTACTATACTACTACCTACTACTGCATCTTATGTAAAAAGCAAGCACTATTTAGTTCACCAATTAAAAGTTAGTCAGTAGTTATAGTACATAGCATCACTCACAGTGATACAACAATAGTATACTAGTACTAGAGCACTATTATGTACAACAAGTGTAACAGTACCTTAGAAAGTAACAATAGTGTTGTTTAGGATTGCTCTTACATGGAAATCTCAAAGCTGTATAAGATATAACACCTACAACTAAGTTTTTGTCCGCAACTATTTACTGAAGATGCAGTACATTTCTTAACTTAGCCCTAGTCAAGCTACCTCGCATTCAAAAATTGGATAATGGAAGCCCAGCCCGGCCTCCGCCAAATCAGTGAGGAAAGATAGATATTTGTATAATCGGTCAAGGCGGATGCAATCCGACTAATATATCAACAGTAGCATAAAGAGACGGTCGAGTACAGACGTAAGCCGCCAACACGGAACTAATTCTAGATTCTTATATGACCAAGTCACTGGAAAACTGGAAGGATAACACATTGTTTTTCGACCATAGGTGTTAAAGCTAACAGCCTCTTTTCTAGGAAAAGGTTATACCATTTATTTAATTCAATTCTTTCGAACCGTGCGTAAAAGCCAACTCTAGAGCTCTCCGAGGTACAGGTCAACTCTGAAAACCTCAATCTAAAGTTGATAGAGTCATTTAACTTTCTGTACTAACAGACTAAAGTTGATAGAATCATTTCGCTTACGATAATGTTACCGATGCTTAAAGAAATAATTTTATATATTTTAATAATAATTTATATTTTAATAATTATATATTTATAATTTATATAATTTTTATATTTTTTATCTTAAATTTTATATAATTTTTAATTTTAAATTATCATCATTATTATTGGTGCTTCTACCTAAATTTAACTAAAATAAATTAAACTAAATTAAATTAAACTAACTTTAGATTATGTATACCTCTTTTACTTACTAACTAAAGATTATGTATACTTATTTTCATAGGTAGAAGCACTCTTTATAAAATAAGGAAGCAAGGCAAAAATATTCGTAATGCCCTGTTTATCTCCTAAACTGTAAGATAAGCCTACTTCAATGCTTCTACTCAAGTCAAAGGAGGCAGGATATAGTAGGGAATTGATAACCATTACAGTTTTTAACAGTCTCTGCATTTAACGTGCAATCACCCCTCGAGCGGACACTCACCTTGACGGGTCAACAACATGCCTAGAACCAATTAGTTAGTTAAACACATGGCATCTCGCAGTTTGGTGGAAACTATTATTCCCTAAGGCTAGTGAATTTTATTATAGGTCCGAACTTTTTCGGTCACTTTACTATATCAGTCTAGAGAAAAATAGCAATCCTCGCTCTGACAGAGTATGTATTTAACTTTGACGTAGCCCGCAAGATTTGAGCCGGCAGCACCAAGACATATTGTACTCAGCACCTACACATTTACCTAAACAAAATCTTTATATGATAGCTAACGCTTACATTGCTGTGGTCTTAGCTATAACCAACAACCCTTTTTAGGTCCTAAATAGTCTTAGTAGCGAGTAAAAGGTTCGAAAATGTTTCGAGTGGTGGTATAGAAACAAATTTACAACTAGTCTTAATGATCTCAAGGATAGATAAGCGTCACAATAACAATTCTAAAATATAAATGATGAAAAAAAATAAAAAAGGATGCTCTTTACAGGCAGGCATCAAACATCTTCACAAGGAGTGCTCTCTCCGTTTACTACCTATTAAAATCAAACACTTTTAGATTCGTTGCCTAACCCTAATAAAGCTAACAAGTTGCTCAGGGAGGTGGGGACAGGGTTTCCAAGGAGCACTAGGTTAGCTTATTAGATTTAATTTAGTAAGTTCCACTGTTCAAGATGTAGATGCCTAGTTAATAGGCTAGATCCAGCCCCTGCTATTACCTACCAGAAGCCAATACAAACACGGCATTACCTTATTCAAGTCTCTGGTTATTTAAATATTAAATATTAAGCATGTCTCATCATGTAAGGTTGTCTTAAGGCGGTCCACTGCGTTACCTTTTTATAGGAAAAGATTCTGCATTGTTTTTAGTTAACTTCAGCAACCCACTTCAACAGAGTACTATGACCCGAGTTGTATCTTTATTAGAGTTAACTCAACTACTGCAGGAAACTTTTAGAATAGTACTATTCCAGAGAAAGGGGATTCACTTTAACTTACTTCTCTCGTGTCTTATTTAATACTTGATTAGTGATGTCTTCCCTCAAGAGCTTAGAAAAGGCACAATTACTTTGCAACTATTATTTTTAAAAGAGCTTCCTAGGAAAGGATCGCGTGGTGGTCGATTAATATTAGAAGGAGCTGGCTAAATGTTGCACCAGAAAAATGCTTTACTGGTCAATGTTGAAACACCTCCCTAAGCATGCACGGTTTCTTGTTCTTTCTTACTAGCTCATGACATTATGGAATGAATCTTTTAAGCTGAAGTATGTTAGCTTGTTTAACACGAGAAAAGATCTTAACATTGGTTTAAATGAGGTAACATCCATCGAGTACTACAATAGAACAATATAGTACTATTCCAAAGCCGGTTTTAAATTAGCAATTAAGCACCTAGAAGCCTAAATAACTTTTAACTTATACCAAACCATAGATAATGACGTTTCCTACCTTAGTGTTGTGACTACCACCATATCGAAACCGGTTATTATACAGACAGCACGGTTCGAGGTTAGTTAAAATATTTAATAACCCAGGTAACTTTATCAGTTAGGCTCGGTAACCTCTATTCTGTGTTGATTCTAAAAATTTGAATCATTTGTATAATACTACTATTACTTGAATTAAAGTCGGCCAATTAGTGACAAATATGTCCTCAATGCACAGGAAGAATTTAACGAATTAATAAGAGCACCTTATTTATCTGTATTTTTACTACTCATAAATGGAAAAAGTCCTCAATAAGGGTATTAATCCCTTTTAAAAAGTTTACCCAGTAGATTACGAACGGTTTGATACTATTGCATTGCTCAAGACAGCTCGTTATTGACTAGATTCGAACTAGTTTCTCCAAAGTCGTTCGACTTACTACAGTAAGGCGTTCTACTTTCGTAGAACAAAATAACCAATTAGCACTCTAGAAATGCTAGCTAATGAAAATATTCTACTAAAGTAGAACGAAAAAAAGTAAAAACTAGTAGTTTTCCCCTTTCACGGTTGGTCCTGGAAACCTAATATTTACCACTTGTCAAGTTTTTAGGACCGCGCCGCAGGGGAGAAACTCGAGTTTATGGAGATACTTATTGTTTCGGTCGAGGAATTAAAAGAACATCTTAATAATTAGTAAGCTAGAAGAAGCCTACATGAAAATATGTTCCTTTGGAAAAATTTGAGCTAGCAAAGATACAAGTTGAGAAGAAAGAGTATAATTCTCCGAACTTCCAGTGCGTTAGTGCTTGCCTACAGAAACTCCTTTGAAATACTTAAACAAGGGTAAATATGGACTACAATACTGTTGATAAGGAAAACAAAGGCAACAGTATTCAAAGGGACCGATAATATAGCATACTGTAAAGAGAATTATAACTCTATCGACATTAACATAAATAATTTTAAAAACATATAAAGATACATTAATATTAAGACTAAAAATAATAGTATTAACAGTTATTAGATAGTAGTAGTGGAATAAAATAATATTTACAACAGTGACACTAAAATAGAAAGGATTTCTTCTATAACATTTTAACATTCAGAAATAAAAAGAGAATTGGTTTAACATTTTAAACTTAGCTCAAAGAGAAAGATTTATTTAAGTGCTAAAGATGTGAGACATAACATACGTAAACTAATCTTTTCGGTAATTGACTTACACATGTTTACCACTATCTTAGGCCGAGACGGCTTTGAATACTACAAATATTAACTTATTGAGTATAAGGAACTAAAAGCCGCAGTGCGGGGTGTCCTTACTGAAGACTGATTTCTCAAAGTTTACAATTTAGAGAGATTAGTTAAAATCGAAGTCTCAAATCAAAAACCTCTAACTTTTAGTTTTAATAAAATTGCTGAAAACCAAAACTACACTCTACAACCTTACCTTACAGTTTCGATAGAAGATTTATAAAAAAATTGTGGTCACCCTGGGCAACTATATGGGCAAGCTCTAATTGTAATAGTACTATGATATGTGTTGTGACATAATAAATAGTACTTGCTTCTCACTTAATGATACAATAATATATAAGTGTCTATAAAGTATACTAAATGAATAGTGTTGTTTGCTAGGAAATGACAAATCCAATACAATAAAGCCGAGTTGCTCAGATTCCCAAAAAAGACGCAGCTATCTGCCCACTTCATCCTACTAATGTGTCGCTTTATAAAGAAGCAAAGAAAAAGGAAGGGCACAAGGTCCGATTAAACTTTAATATTTTTAAGTCGCTAAGTTGGGATTGCATTAAGGGGATGCGGACCTAAAGGCAAAATTGAAAGCTTAAACCCAGTTTATAAAAGAGTAACTTTTTCTCAAAACAGAATTAAGTGCTCAAATTGCAAAGTCATTAGATAAACTGTGTGAAAAAGGTACGTCACCAAACTATATACTTAACCGATAAACGAGTATTTAAACTCCTTAAGACTTGCGGCCTTACGGGCGGAATTCCTTAGAAGGTTATATGCTGTTCGTAAAGTGAGGGCAAAATTCTTCTACTGGTAAACCGCAATTTCGTGTAAATTAGTTCCTTTAACCGTTGTGTAGTGTTAACATACTCCAATAAAAAGAGCTAGGCCTCAAGTTTACCAATAAGCAACTATTCAGCTGCATACTATCACCTTAATTATAAAAATAACTCTTAAATCTTAATGCCCTACAATAAATATGAAAAATTAATTGGGAACTAGCTGAAAATAGTTCTAAGCATTTACTTATAATTTATAACTTTATCAGGTCACCATGTATATCCTTGCATTTTAAGGGATTCGTCAAGGAGTTTGTAAAGCTGCCTTTGTCTCGATACCGACATGGCAGCCACTGTATCCACAATTTTACTAAAAGAGTATGCGCTGTAACCAGTGGCGATAAAAGAGCTATAATATACATTACTGGAAAAAAAAAAAAGTGAGCAATTGCTTGTGTCTAATAGACTAGCCTCTTACACAAAAGTTAGCATAAGCAACTGGCAATCGAAGCGGTCCATAACACCTCCATGCCCGGGAATTAGGTCTCCGAAGTCCTTAAAGTAGTGTCAATTTAGGCGAATATTGGTTACAAATAGAGTAACCTTCAAGCCAAAGGCACGCTTAAAACCACTGGCAAAAAATCCACCAAAAGGGGCGATCACAGAGCCGAATGCGGCCATAGCCAACCCATGAAGCTGGATAGGCCTCAAAGAAAAACTCTAAATTAATAATTTAGTATACTAAACTGCCAGACATAACGCAAAACTGACCAAACCACTAAACATAGGTAATGTAATTGTCCAAGGCACAAAAACGGGATGGGTGCTACATGTCAGTTTGTTAATAGTGGGTGTATAAAGCAATCCCTGTAAAATTAAGAAAACATATGTCTCTTGTGGTGTGTCAATAAAAGATTAAAACTTCAATGGGACAGATCATGTATTCAAAGCCAGAAAGAAAACGAGACATCTGTAAACATTGTAAAATTAATAATATATTAATAGCTTAAATAACAAAAAGCCGCAAGAATTAACTGCAAGCCCAAACAGCATTGTCGCGAGAAAAGCGCCTATAAACCCCTCCCAAGTTTTTTTAGGGGAAAGAGAAATCAGTGGTGTGCGGCCAAAAAAGAAACCACACAAATACGCGGAGCAGTCGTTACAAATTATCATAGAAACAGGCAGTAAAAACCATATAAGGCCTAAAAGGTAAAGTTAGAAAATAACACTTAATAACGGAGTAGTGCTCGCCTTCATATATATTACGCACTACGAAGAACGATGCAGAAACAAGTAATAAAAGAGTGACATAAGTCCAACCGAACTGACTAATTTGGAATCGATAGAACCCCTTCTTCAGCGTTAACACAAATACTATAAACCCTAAAAATCGTTGAGGTCAAAAAAAAAATTAATGCATATAATTTATAAATAATAGGCTGAATACAATATAAGCTGCTGAGCTGTATTAAAAAGGTGCCCAAAGTTGATGTTTTGGATTACTAAAGTACACGTATATTTGTATTATAGATGAAGCACAACTAAAAAAATGGTTTTATGTAATAGCCAGCGAGCGGCAACAACACTTTTCACTTTTTTAACTATATTCCTTAACATTAAACGAGGTATACTTTATTACTTGAAAAAACTTGCGAAGCAACGTACTTCTATATTTTACCAGAGGTTGTTGGAATAAATAGAATAATTCTTCAAAGGTATACGTTACGCACCTAATTTTGCCAAAGAAAAAAACTTAAGGAATAAACAGTTAAGCGGGGGTACATCCCTTTTGGTCTAATATCCTTGATTGACCCAAACTTGGACAAAAACGACAACAAAGCATCAACGTACCCTCCATTTTATACAAATGAACAAAAAGAAAGCTACTTTGGAAAAAGAAACTTCGCCTGTTACTGTGGTACCCATTTTGTATAGAAACACAACAGAAAGTAGATACTAATCTAGCTAGCTTGAATAGAAATTACAAATACTCGTAAAAACCAGTTAATGTAAAGCTTATAATAAAAAAAATTTAACTATTTTTCAAAAAGCTTATATAGAATTTTACGTTCCGGATTAACCTGACAAGTATAGTAAAAAGGATACAAAGTTGTGATGAGCGCTCAAATTCCCCAAAAGATGATCTCGATCGAAATAATAAAAATTGTCGAAGAAAGGAATAAACTTTAGCAAAAGACGCGTTATTTTTTGAGCATATATAAAGTAGTTGGCGCAGAACAAAAAATACCTGCAAATATAAAAATAAATAAATAGTATATGCTGATAAAAAAAAAGAGCTACGTGAAGTTAGAAAAATTACCAATTCAAAGAACGAAATAAAGGAAGTTTAGGAAAGGTTTGACTGACAAATTTCTTTTGAGTGCCGTCACGATGCCGTAGAAGAGAGGAATTTAAGAATGCAATAGTAATTATTTCTTTAAAACAAGCAAACTGAATTATGATCACCTGAGGTAAAAATTAACTATAATATATGTTTAGATATTTAACAAAACTTACAAGCATAATGACGTAGAAGTGTCCACTTAATATGACGCCAGAAAAACCGAGAATCATTACTAACGACCAGGACACTCTAGTCCACCAGCTTTTCCACTTGGTGTAGGAGGGTTGATTAACCAGTAGTTGAGAATTCTGTTATAATAATATATATAGAAGAAACTTTTTCATTAAATTAAGTACAGGCGAGGAGCTGGTTTTCTTTGAATTTTCTTTTAGAAAACCTCTTTCAATAGAATTTTTGGTTCCCGTAACAACTTTCATTGCCATAGATAAAGCTATATATAAAAAATATTGTCAGAAAAAGATCAAAAATTAGTCTACAAAAAATTAGTTATAAAACGTATATAGAGAGCAGCTCTGACAGATAAGAAAGAGTTGGTTAACTAGTTTTTTTTATTTTAAAATTATTACCAAGCAATGATAAACATAAATCAAAGACGAGAGCTGTACAATAGCCGGTTTTACGGCTAGCCTTTCCGGTCAAGCAACGAATAAACAAGTTGTTCTAATCCTTTCGACCCTCGCGACATTCCCCTCAACCTTCTTAAAACCCAGGATACGCAAATTAGAGGTGTTATAATTAGAGGTATAAACTGTTTTGATTAATTTTGATCACAACAGTACAAAAAAAGAAATAAATGAGAAAAAAATGTTTTTATTGCATAATTTTTGTCTTTCACAGTATAATTGTAGTATTTCAATTTTAAAATATAAAGGGACTGGCAGAAGCAGAACCAATTTATCAAATTATATCGCACTTCACCCGACAGGTTTTATTCCAAGCGAGTGCGTTATTTCAGGGTATACACGCACCTTTGGAGCGCGCCGTACTATTTACATGCCTAAAATTAATTAACTTATAACTTTAAAATTTACGTGACTTTTATTATTCCCTGCAAGTTTATTTTTGTCCTTTTATTAAAGCCCTAGTAACAAATAATTTAGCCAACACTACAAAAGGCCTATAAAAAATTTAATCTTAACAGTTTTATAAAATTTAACTGCTCAACTTATCCGGAAGGGATAACACGACCAATTATTTACATAACTGTGTTAAATGACTATTTTTTCGATTTATTAGCGAAGTTGGTGGTTCTGCTAACTCACAAATACTGTTTTTTTAGTTGTCTTTTGTGTTGTTATATTGTGTTTATATTTTTATAAGTATACAACAGGTGTGCTTTGTATAAAAATTTTAAATTTGTTATATTCCCATAGTTTATTGTATATTGTTGTGTTTGATATGATTATAATCATTAACTATTCTGTGAACATGTATTTCAGCTGTAAGAGCTAAAAACCCTAGTAGTGGGATTCTGCTTCTTGTTCAAGGAGGTGGAAATTTAAAAAAAGGGATAGAAGATAGTTAAAACCATATATAACGCTATCAATATATATAAGTGTAAAGGAAGGATAACCAGAAAAAACAATTTTTTATACGGCCATTACAGTTTAGTTACTTTAATATATCATTAGTTCGATAAAGGATAAAACTAACTTCTGTGCAAGTAAATGAGGCTGTCTAAAAGTTTTTATTAATAGGAAAAGCACATAACGGGATTTTTATACGAAATAATTATTTCATCGTTGAGTTATAAAAAAGACAGCATTCTCAGAGTAATCCTTAAGTAATATAATAACTTTTTTGCTTAATTGCCAGACTTTTCTAACACTAATATTTTATATTAGAACCGTCTATGCAATGTGCTGCTACTAAACAGCGATAATTAATTATTTGTTTCTTAAACACTCTTTTGATAAATATATTGCTCATAATAAAAACGACTTTCGAGTTCAGGAGTCCCCCTTTAAGGTGGAATTCATATCGGGATTATTTGGCTGACAGCAATGCTTAGAGGACCGCAAGAGTAGTATCTCCGGTCACTTTCCCCGGTACTGGTTTTTTAATTAATTTTAACACGTTAGGCAACAAAATTAATGAGCTTGCAGTGTTATTGAACTTATAAAGATTACACTGTGCATATGTGTTCAACCCTTCTTAAAAGGTACTTATAAATTAAGCGCTAGAAGATTTTATAAACTGAGCGTACTAAGACAGCGAAAAAAAGCCTTCCTTTATTGTTTATTTGCTCAACATTTTACGATTTAGGAGCAAATAGTTTCATTTAAATTTGCTTATACTTTTAACAAATTTTATCGTTATAGACACTCAAACTCTGTAGGCTACGTGAGAATAGGGTTTGATAAAATATACAATAATTAAATGCTCTTTTACGTTAAAATGGAAGCTCCACAAAAGTTAAAGAGCGTATATCATTAAAAACACTGTCAAGCTGTGGTAGGTACCCTTAAACTTTTTTAAATTTTTATACTATGAGAAGCTGCACTGCATTTGCTATATAAACCATTAGGTATACGCCGAAGATAGAGTATTAGCTGTATATGCTTTTATAACCTCTCACAGTGGTTGAAAAATTAACTAAAAAGCAAAGGGTATTATTCTGTAAAGCAATTTTAAAGTAACGGAATGTCTAAATTTTAAAAATAAAAAAAAAGCTAAATTTCTATTTTACTTAATATCTGGAATAATTTTTATGCCTAATTTATTAAATAAATTTATATCCTTTGTCCACTATCGACGACAACAATTCCACCTTTAACCTAATTGTAATTTTAGTAGCGGTTTTTACAGTATTAGATCAAATAATGGGGTTGTAGGCAAAGTGTTCCATTATTTTGGGTCTCCCGTGGTAATCCCACAACCGGTTGTTAATTGAAATGATATGACCTAGAGTTTTCTTCACTTTTGCGAGGGGTAGTTATCTAAAGACTGTTACCGCCCAACCCGTTTCCTTAATAAATGTTTTTAAAGAATTGGGTACCCTGCAAGCTTAAGCGAAACAAGTAGTACCCGAACCTTGTGGGAATGCTCACCAAACTACTTTTATGAATATGGTTGCCAGGTTTAAATCGAGTTGAGTTGAGGAACTTGTCAAACTGTGGAGTAACCTACTTGGTGATTAAACTAGGTTACTAATCAAACCAGCCTTATAAAAGTAAATTACAAATCCTGATCAACTCAAATAAGTTTAAAGTAAAACGAAAGATTAAGGTATCCTACCGAAGCAGAAATAATCCTGTTTAATTAAAAAACATCAGGAAAATATTTAAAATTTCAATGTGGTACCACTTTGGGAAAACGCTATGTTCCTTCTTCCACCTGCCTCCAAGATAAAAGACTTAATCGATACCTTTAAGTTTCTGATGCACAATTTGCTTAATTTATTCATTACTTTTGGAGATTCTCTTAAAGAAGATATATCTTCTGTTAAGCTTAGAGATTGAGTGTTTTAAAAACTATTTGGATAAAGCACTCATGCTGGGAATAGAACCAGTCTTTCGTTAGTCCATAGGTCTAGCTACTAATTATTTACAATTTTAACTGATTATCAAATATTGAATACTTTAAAAGACTAAAAATCTTTAAAAAAAAGAAGGCTTAATGGATATCTAGCCATTCAATATAATTTGAAGTTATACTAAATTTTAGAAAGGAATAAATTTAAGCTCAATACTTTTACGCCATTGCCTAGACTTGAGTGTAACGAAAAATCAGTTCCTCTCGCATCTTTCGTATACACGCCTAATCATAAGGTTTTAAACCTACGCATGATATCCGTTAAAATAACTTAAGTAAACACCTTAAAAAAGAACCGATGTTTTCTGAAGTACATGCAGATTATTAAAAAGGTATTTATTATAAGAAATCTTTTTAGCTTATTATATCTTTGCTTTATTTGAAAAGCATGTAAGGGACCTCAATCACCTAACCTAAATCGCAAGCTTACAGATCTGCGACGTAAATCTCGTTTGGCATTTGGGGAGAGAGCTTAGGCTCTAGATTTCCATATGACTTTTTGACTTAATATGTCAAGACTTTACTAGCGTGGAATGAAGAAAGAACTTTCTCTTCTTCTGAAAGCGATTTCTGCCAGAGGATAAAATCGACTTGTTATAAAAATTATGACTTTTTACAGTTCTTATCGATCCTAACAACTATTGGGAGCTACCACTGCCACACTATCGTATTTCTAACATGTGCCACTTTTTACTATCCTCTTGCTTAATTCACTTGTAATAAAACCACTAGCAGTGCCATAGATGTTTCGATGTTTTTGGCTTTATATGTGTTCACTTACAATTAAACACTAATGTTTTTACTTACTCTTCGGTTCCCAGTGCTGGTGTATAAATCAACTTTAATGGAAACCGCTCTGAATTGCGCCAAGACGTCCGCTTTAGAGTGGGCGACCTTTTAAATAGCCATTATATTAAGACTACAAACCTTTCATAAAGTTGAACCATTATACGACCCCTTTCAGGTATGTGAAAAAATTAATAATGTTGCCTGCGTGTTAGCTCTACCCAAAACTATGAATAACCATAATGTACTTTATTAAAATCTATACAGAAAACTAAGTTAAACTTTTTTAAACAGTAGCGAACGAAAGCAACTATTTTTTTGTACAGCGGCGGTTCCGTACTCTATATTTATAGTATTCTTTTGAATAATTTCGAAAAACCTGAGCCAATCTATCAGGGATTATAAGTAAAAATAAATTAAACAGATATATAAAAATAAAATAGAATAAATAAGAAAAATTATATGAGTGAAGTTAAAAAATTATAAAAAAGGTTAAATACACGAAAGTAAAAATATAAAAAAATGAGAAAGAAAAGAATTTCAGAGTCCCCCCTTAATCTTTATTCAACAAATTTTAATATATATAATATGTACTAATAAAAATAAAATCTAGAGTTAAGATTTAGTAAGTTAAAATTATTCACTCTAGAAATATATAGCATATTTTTAAGTTGATGTAATTTTATAAAATATGTTAAGATTTTCAAAATAGTTTTAGTCAGTAAGATATTAAATCCCTATTTTTTTATGAGAAATTTTTTGATGATAATATTTTAATTTTTCATTGGTTCTTTAAGGGTTTACCTTAATACAATCAGTCTAAATTTTTCTGTTTTCGGGGTGTCCTAATTTTAGTTAAACTTTAGTACATTTAGTTTTCTTTTTTTTGTTAAAACACGAATTGTATTCATGCTTGTGCCTCGTTGTTTGAAATGCTACCAAATAATTGGTTAAAAGTTTGGTACACTTCATGTCAGCTCATATTCCGGTAAAAGACTTCCCCTTTATAAGCTTGTGGCCCTTCAAATTTACTAGCACGCGCGGTCAGAAGGGTTTTTAGGTTTGCAAAAGCGACCTTTTTAATTAATTAAATTATTTAGGCAACACCTTAGAATAGACTTTTAGAAAGAAAGATTGACTTGTTACCGAAGATTGATCACCTAAATTTTTGAAGGAGCCTATTTATAAACAAGTAGTCCACTTTTTAAAGGTGAGCATTCGTATTAAACTTCATGATTGTTAAGCTAGGAAGTGCTAAAGTTTCTAAGCCTATAATTCTAAACGCTACGAGTATTATATATTTTTTCTATGAGGATGATGTTACTTTCTTTCGGTTTATCATTTAAAATTTGTCTAAGAAGCTGAGTTTGAAAACGAACCCTTTATAACAAAAAATAAGAGCACTAAATATTTTTAAAGTACGCAAACTCTGGCAGGTACAACTGAAGAACGCAAAGATGCGTTTATTCTCTCTATGATGGAGTTACTCTTGTTCTTTGCAAATAGTTCTGTATTGTCCTACACTGTGTTTAGTTCTTATCTCCTTAGTCTAACAGATAACTTTCGTCTTGCACAAATCTTTTAAAGAAAAGTTCTTATATTTAAAAGTGTTTTTTCTTACGTTGCAGGGTCTACTTTTGAGTTAATAACATTAAACCGTAAGCTGAAGTACATATGTTAATTGCAACACGGATAACATCAAATTGCTTTACTCTTCACTCTTTAGCCGCTTATTATTATAATATTCAACAAGGAAACCAAAAATTTAATATTTTTTTTTAATGAAATTAATTTTTTGAAGACGCTTGAACACAACTGTATTTTACCAAGTCAAAACGAGTATTATCGGATGCCAAGCAGGTATTTAAAAAAACTTTATTAGACAGCTCCCGGGGCTGGAATATACATTGGAGTATAGCTTCTTGGATCAGAAACTTAATGCCTTTTTAAGTGTTTTTCGAACTACCACTTTTGGCAAGTTGGCAGTATTAACTGAAGTTAGAAATGTTTATATCTTATAAAAGCGATTTTTCTAATTAATATAATCCTTATCTTCTTTTCCGTTTTCCTCCTCCAACCCCTGGTTTTTATAAGTTAAAGTTTAATCTATAGACAAATGCTTATTAGTTTGATATGCTGTTTTCTTTAAGTGGTGAAAGAGCCAAATAGACTATTAACTACCTAACAGTTTTCAAAATTTTTTTATTAAAGTCCCGTAAGCTAAGAAAGCAACACTGTTTCTCTATTTTATCTTGTTCTCCTTTACTTGTTTTTGTCTTGTTTGGTCAACCGCTCTCTATTGATGTACCCTTTATATATTAAATACTTACGTGAAGCTTCGCCCAATATCTCCTGAAAAGAAGGATAATACTTTTCCGAGTGGGTAAATCAGGAATAATTATAGTGGTTGATAATAACTAAAAGAGTTATAGTAGAAATATAGTTTTTATAGGCTCCAGGTATTCATTACCTTCGCAAAATTTGTAAAGCCGCCAGCTATTACAAGCCAAAGTAAATTTACAATGCTTTGCTGCCTAAAAGTACTCGCTAAGTTTAAGCCCTTTAAAAATTTCACAAAATCTAACTGATTACAATAAACTGTCTTCACCAATTGATCTTCCATGTTATTCGAATTAAAAAGCGCTCCCAAAAGTTGATGCTAAAAAAACAATAGCAGTGAAACAACACCCAATTTTTTTAATGTGCTCTAACGTGCTTCAACAGTCACGCCTTCAGAGTAACTCAAGTTTGTGCTAAACGCTCGACTGATGCACCTAAAAAAGGCGTGGTATCTCAAGTTAATAACTTCTGTAATTAAGCATTTCCTAATTTTATTTTTCTAAAACAAGCTAAAAGTATATCATCGAAAAATTTAAAAGTCGTTGAATTTATTAATAGCAACAAAAAAATTTAGGTTTCTAAGAAAACCGTCTCTAATTTAAATGGTTTATAACTGTTATACAACATCGCAATCCAACTTGGTCTTTATTAATTTAGATTTTAAAAAACAAGAACTTATTAAACTAAAGTGCATCCTCTCCAGTCACCTTTTCTTAAAACCTATAAAAATAAAATCATAGGGAAAGGCGTAAACGATAAGCTAATTAAGAAAATTATACCATATTTCTTCCTCTCATAAAATAAGTCGGTTTTCGAACTTCCAAGGTTCACAATTTTTGGACAACCGTCCCTCTGTAACAATACATACGAAAGCAAGAAAAATAAAACGACTAGCTAATCTAATTGCAAAAAATATCTCACATCTTTCTCTTGAATAGTACATTCCTTACAATAATAGGCATCAGAAATCCCAGGGCCTCCACATATAACGCACCTTCCTTCATACAATAAATAATAAGTTATACAAAAGGCATAATAAAAAGTTATGGGAAAAAGAGCGTCGAAGTAAAACCTTGATAGGAACCGTAATTGCACTCGTCACAAATTCTAACTAAAGTGCAAGGCCTAACGTAGGAATCACATATAACACATTTTCCGTCGCACTTTTCACAAAGTCGACCGATCGCTTATTAAAGATATAATAAATACATAGAATAACTATTACATGCATTGAATAAGAATAAATAAAAAAGAAAAAACCAACTCCTGGCTGCTTTCTGCACATTATTAAATCTGGATGATGCTTTGCCATTTAAAAGTATATCTTACACAATGAGCTAAATGGTATAAAAGTGGTAATAGTGAAGGTAGGAAGGCGCACTCACGCACAGCACTATTGAAGTTTTTAGTTGAACGCTATAAGGTATGCAGCCCCATTAACTTTCCACATTGCAACACCTGCGCTTTTTTGCAGTGGAATGTCAACGGCTTGAACCGCAAGAAATATGAACTTCCGAAACGCTACAGCACCAAGTTGTAGCAGTTGCAGTGTTTAAGGCGATTCTAAAAGCTGGCGCACAACTATGCTTTTAACTACTTAAGGTACCGCGTAGCCTTATTAAGCTCGACATGGGTGTTGCCATTCTAATGCAATAAAAACACCTACCATGCCATCCCACCGCTCTTTCAACTCTGAGAATCTGTCTTTGTAAAGTTGCCACGAAAGCAGAAGTTATTTCTGCCTGCCGGTACCACCTCTAGTCCGCTGACCGCTATTGCTTTAAATGCACACTTACAGCGCAACTTGACCTCTATTTTCTGTTTATGGAACCATCAAGTCGAAAACCCAAACTCAAGCCATGGGCACCTTAATATACGCAAATTTATAAAAAGGTGAGCTTTCTATGTGCTTAATATAATAGTATTAAAAGACAATCATCTAGAGCTCTCATTGGGTCATATTCCCGTTCGAATGATATCCGTACCAGAAAAATTTCAAAGCTTTTTTTTAATATTTTTCTATATTTGACAGGTTCTCTTGGAAGCTAAAGTCAAAACTTATAACTGCGTGCTAAATAGCTGCTCATTTTATCCCGACGTTTAGCTTTAAAGGTGTAGTGCCCAGCCGTCCGGAGCCCTTATTGCTACTGTTAATGAGCGTGCGAAAGTGTGCTAAATATTGCAACCAACTGGGAAGCGGATGTAAGGAGTAATGCATACCTTTGAAATTCATTTCTCTATTTGTGTGTCCACTTTAGAATTTTAGTCTTTACTAGGTATACTTACGTTAGGTAAAGGTCTGCCCACCAGAGAATCTCTGGTGTTAGCGCAGGTTAATTTTTAAAACGCCCTTTTTCTTTTCCCCTTTTTCCCTCGTAACCGCTATATCTAAATCCTAATGAACCACGCTTGTGAGAGTAGGAAACAACACTATTGAAGAAAGGACATATTATAACTGAAAGCGACAAAGACAAGGCGCCGCTCGGGCCCTTTGGTAATGCTGATAAACGTATGAAGACAAGCACTGTCGGTTTTGTAGGTGTAGTTTATGCGCTTTTGCGTTGGTAGTCATATGGTTTCATCAACAGCAGCACCCTTTAGAAGTAAAAGGTTGCCTCCGGTGATGTTCTTCTAGCTCCTTCCATAATGGGTACCAGTGTTGTTGCCGAAGGCATTGAGTTCCAGACTAGACCTCAGAAAATATCTCTCAACCAATCGTTTGCATACGAGAAATTCTGTTTATATTCTTCCTAAGTCATTCTACGGTACAATGGCTACTGATATAATTTTCTTTATTAAAAATAACTTGTAGCATTAACTTTAAGGAAGCTAACGAGGACTGCTTTCAAACATAATTTACGCACTAATCGCACGCACTGGGCGACTACCTGGCCCACGTAGTCTTCGAGTCGTCCCTAATTGACTATGTCATTTAATTCGTTTCAGCGCTGCGCAGTCGAAGCTTTGCTCTTGTAGCAGGAATTCCATAAAGGAGTGACTTTTGTGCCTGTTTTATTCGTGCTATATACATACTTGGCATCCCTATCCTTACAAATTAACACACTTATTACATTTTTATCCGCCGGCACAGCAGTCTACGCATCGTCAAAAACTGATGCTAAAACGTCAACGCCTGCAGCGGCACTTGGAAATTTTTATTAGGTGATATCGATAATGGTATATTAAGCTTTTCATCCTCAAAAATGCTAACTGCTCTCACTTGTTACTTTTAAAGTCTCCAAGGTCCCATACAAAGATTAGGCAAAGTACGTCAAGTTCATTATCACAACAAGCAGTTCTAATCACCACACGCTGGACACGTTTTTGCGAAGCCTACCGAAGTAATGCAAGCGCATAATTAGCTATAATACGCATAGACTTCTTGTGCTACAAACTGCGCTATGCGGTGTGTAGGGCCCCTTCTACGGGCTCTATTAGTCTTTTAACCGTTAGTGTACTGTTAACTGTGAAAGCACTGTTAGTACAGAATAACAAACTGCTAAGGCTGCTACTGATGCGCCGTACTCTGCGTGGAAAGACCTCTGCAATGGTCCACTATTATGAGACCGGAAATACCACGAGTTGAGCGGTAATTGCTGCTTTGGGACGGGTAGAGACTCATTTAAATAGCTGTTTAGCAGAAAAAGTTTTTTTTAAAACCTGGGTATAAATTGTCCACTTCATTTCACTAGAGCTATAAACTCTTTTTACCTTCATCTTTTCTATTGGAGTTAACTTTGATAAGTCCGCGCTCCTTCCACGTGGCACTTTCAAACCATGCGCCGTTAAATTTGGATACCTATTTACTCTTCCTGAAGGTATAAATATCCATCCTCTAACGAATGGAACTGTTCTCCTCCTTTTCTAGGTACATTTCTTAAAAAAAAAAATTAAAAACGTCAAAACCATAAATGGGTAAGATGATAATTTTTATTGCAGTCCATTGAAACCCCTAGTATATAGGGATGAACGTCTCAGAATAAACGTAAACAACGGAGAACGAAATATGTTATGGCAAGGCCTACCCCGGGATATGATATCCGTATAGTGTAGTTTTACAAGTTAGAAACTAAAGAAATATTTTAATGGCGGCTGCGAACCGATAGAAAAGTTTCACTAAAATAGTGAGAAAAACCAGAATTAAAGAAAATTAAAAAAGTTTTCTGCACGACGCGCCAACAAAAGAATTATATAAACTTAATTGAGAGTTACACAAACATTCTCGTTCCAAAAACTTGAGCTAATAATTAATTGCTCATAAGCTTACTGACAACGAACAAGCATTGGTGTCGAGTGTTATAAAAGCCTTTTTATTAGTTTCCGTTGCCCCTGTAAGAGGTTTTAAGTTAAGCATTCAAATAGATTATTCTTAATATTATAACTGCGTAAGCTAGGTTCAAAAATTGGAAGTTAAGAAGGCGAGATTAAACGCGTAAATATCATAGACTAAAAAAAAGTCAAGCCAGCTAGCAACAAACCCATGACCGGGTGTAAAAGGGGTCGCCGCCGTTAACCCCTAAGGTTTCGATGGTAAGTTTCCATCCCGGTTAGATAAATTTGCGTATTAACCTGTTAATCACCTTCTCACACCTTGTACAATTAAACAGCAATTAAAATGTAATCCCATTGGGATGAAGGAACAAAGCAGCCCGATGTTAAATGTCCAAACAGTAAATTTAGTTGGGGCTTGCAAACACTGGCTATTACAACTTAAGACACTGTGGAGCCTTGTCCCTCGTCCTTGTTTTTGTACCGTTCTATTATCTTGGCATTATTGTGTACAAGTACAACATTCTTAGTTCGCAATAGTACTGCGAAATTTGCCCCAGAACTCCCTCAGAACACGTATAATTAATTCCTCGAAAGTAAAAATTTTCTACTTATAGCAGGGCATAAATAAAGGCCTTGTTATCCATTGCGGACGTTATTAATTTAATATACTACGAAAGATGCGTCGGGATAAATATTGTAAATAAAAAGGTATGTGTGTAACATACTATTTTTCTTTAGGGTTTACAACACCCCATCTTAATAAGAGCAATGTTACCTCCAGTTTCGCTACAAAAGCCACTATGGGAATTATACCCAAAAGGGATAATATATCTTAATAAGATTTATTTGGTTTACGTTAAATGTATTAAGGTGCGATCAATATCACCTGACTGGCCAGAGGATCTTTTCTTTTACTTCTATAGCCTGGACAGACTGTTTCTATACGATTACCTAATAACATAAAAAAACAGGGTAGGCCCAGCTTATATATTACATATAATATAAATAGCTTTTTACAGTTATAACTTACCTAGTTTTCGAGTTGAAAGGCCGACACTCTTTGTATTATCATGATATTTGCTTTAACATTTTCTATGCAGTACACTCTATGAAAAGAGGTAGCGATAGTTTAATATCTCCTGTTTACAAATAGCAATAATAATTTCTTTTAGCAATACTTAAGACGATGACGAGGGAAATAAAAGCAAGCAGAAAAACTATACTTAAATCACTTATACTAATTTTGTTTATTTACTTACCTAAAGCATATATAAATATATATATACACACATATTTTTTTTGAATCTACTTTAATTTTTTATTCTTTTTTTTCCATAAAACTCTTTATTCTATATATTATTTTTTATGGTCGTTACGGGTATGTCTTCCGCTAATACAGAACAACAGGAACTTATCGCCAATCTATTAACTGAGAACTCCGCTTTAAAAAAGGTATCAGAGATGCTTAAAGCGAAAGTGAATCACCCGGAAAGAACAAATAATTTTGAAAAAATTTTAAAAAGTTGGAAAGATTCACAAAAACCAAAAATTATTCTGGGCGCTACAAACGCTAACTCTTATTCCGCGTTACAAACTTTAGACAAGGCTTGGACTTTTGAAAAAGATACGTTAGAAGACAGTGAAATGAAAGAGATCCCCTTTAGTAGTAATAGTAATGCATAAGATAGTAATAGAAATAAAATAATAGTAAATTCTTTAAAGATAATAATATATATAGTAATAACATAAGAAATAATATTAATAAAAAAACAATGATATCAGTAATATTTATTATAATAACTCTGAAGCTAGTAGCAATTATTAGTAATAGTAACAAAAGTTGTAGCGATAACAAAGCTAATAAACGTTGAAAGTAGCAGTATCATTGACGATAAAGACACTAATAATTATAATAACCATGAAAAATGCAGAATCCCTTCTATGACAATACGCCACAAAAATTTTTGGAGTAGGGTGTCCCAGTTAATAAGAAATAATATTGAGATTTTTATTGCGAAGAATTGGAGACATGAGGTGAGGGCCTTTGCATCTTCCGAAAAGGACTTTAGAAGATTAACCCCTCTTCTGGATTCAGAATTGGTTGAACAATATACATATCGGCTTCCGTCCGAGAAAGAGCTTAAAGTGGTCTTTCGTGGCTTCTTTGTGGAAATGGAAGTAAAAGACATATAAGAAGACTTAGAAAAACAGGTTTTTCAACCGCCTAAGGTTATAACAATGCGGAATTATATTCACGTTAGAACTTCGTGTTATCCTTAGTTTTAGTTAAAGTACACAAAAGCGAAAGTACTATTTTTAATGTTAAAAATATTGGATTTATATCCATCTCCGTCGAACCTTTCAAAAAGAATGACAGAATAGAACTATGTTTTCGCTGCCAGTTTTATGACCACACCGACAAATACTGTACTTCTCAGTACCGATGCCTTAAATGCGGTGAAAATCATAACTCTAATACGCGCCAAATGCAAGGGGTGAACCACCCTGCTAGTTATCGAGTTTACCTTTATTACCCTAAAAGTGCACCTCTTAGAAAAAACCTGAATGCCAATCTGTCACTTCAACCAAATCAAACCTACGCTCAGGCGACAGCAGACAAAGATGCTTTCCACTAACTTAGATGAGATAATAAAACAAATTGTTTACTCTTTAACGGAAGTCATCCGCACCCAAATCTCTAGATCGATAAGCAACTTATTTTCTAAAATACAAATTTTAAAATACTTTTCTGGAGCTTTACCGAGGTCTGAGACAGAAGACAAAAAACTACAAGAATTATTTGAAAGAATGGATATTGACCTTGCGCTATTATCTGAAACTCATCTAAAGAATGGTAATAGGTTTTGCATCTCAAATTACACAACTTATCGAAAAGACCGATGCCATATGGGGGAGGAGGTGTAGCCATTCTTATAAAGATCATAGACATTTTTGAAATATCTTGAGCTACAGAGGATAAGATTTGCTGGTATACATACTAAACTTGAAAATTTTATATACTTATAAGCCTCCAAATAAGAATCTGAATTTAAAAGTTTGCGTAAGTTGTTTGACGATGCCCATTCAGTCATTGTTAACGGAGACTTAAAATGTAAACATCCACCAAGGAACAGTGGAGTCGATAATTCTTACGATAAAATACTAAATTCGTGAGCAAAAGGGAATGATGTGTTATCTTAGTCCTTGTAAACCTCCATAACACGCAGCTCGGTGCATGTACTGGCTGTGGCCTTTTTAGAAAACGTACGTGTAGCTTATACATGTTAAAACCCTCTACGTATTGTGATCTGACCATTGCCCATCCCTGCTGGAAGTTGAGCTAATTTTTTGGACACAACTGAGAAATTTGAAAAAAAATTACTGATTGGAATCTTTTTAAAAAATCTGTAAGCGACATTTTACCTTCCTTCTCTTGTCCGTCATGTTATTCCGGAGTTAACAGAGCTATTTTCGTCTTTAAAAGACTCTTTTTTCAAATCTTTAAAGTAGGCAACCAACTTTAAATTCTTTGAAAACTTTAAGCTTAATATTCCTTTTCACATAAAAGAACTTAAGGTCTGAAAAACGCCGCTAAAGAGACAATTCATAATTAGGTGGGCCCTAACTATAAATTGGTCTTAAAAAGATTATTAGTAAGCCTTGTTAAACGAGAGTTGTGTGCTTTTTTTCCCCTTGAAACCTAATACTGAAGATAAACTTCGATCCCTAATTCTTACCGAAAACACTTTAAAAAAAAAAGCGAATGCAATCAAGAAAAAGGTCCAAAGTTACTATAGTTAAGAAGTGGGGAAGTTATCTACGCAAACTTCAAAAAAGGCAACTTCTTTGCTGTAATAGTGGGCAACGGACAATGTACAACATTATTATCGACGGACAGGGAACACGAAGCACTCATGCGAAAGCAACTTACACTTTTTTTCCGTTGTAGGGGTCCACTACTCACTTTGAATGTCATTACGAATATAAATGAGATACAACCTATAATCGACAGACTTGGACACCAGGAAGAGCTTGGGTCCTGATAAAATTTCAGATAAAACGCATAAAATCTTTCTTTACCTCAAACAAGTACCTTACAGAGCTCATTAACTCAACTGTTACCCATGGTTATTTTCCTTTAAGAGAGAAGCAAGCTGACTTGTTTTTATATCGAAAACATTTCGTCCAAGCAACTACGCGAAAGGTTATCGCCCAATTAGCCTACTTACCTGCTTAGAAAAAGTTGCAGAAGCTGTGCTTCTTTTAATTGCGACAATATGCTGATGATGAAAAACCTTATTCCAGTTTATTAGTTTGGTTTTCGAAGAAGCCCCTCTAACACTTAAAAAATCGTAAGGCTTGTGGAACACCACTAATGCCCCTCTTTTACAAGGGATTACTGTTATTTAAGGAAAGACTAGTCATGCCTCAGCAACCTCTCATTGTTCTTGTAAGAACTATCGGATTTCAAACCACTTAACACTGGGGTCCCTCAGAGGACCTTAGAGCCTCCTATTTTATTCTCATTATTCATGTCTGACATACTCCCCCTACCACTCAAACTTCCTTGCGTTGTAGGCCGTTGAAACTGTTATTTACAGCAGCTCAAATTCTCCGCCTCCTGCCTTTAAATATATGCAATCCTGCCTTACCTTATTTGAAGATTGGTTAACAACGTGGAAAGTAACCGTTAATCCTTTAAGTAGCCACGCCATGCTTAAAGAAAAGAAAGAAAAGAGTACTTCAAGACTTATTTCATTTTCATATCCCCCTCGCCTAGGATAACCAAGTCAAATACCTCGGTGTTATCATTAATAACAAACTTAATTGGAAGGCTACAATAAATATTTGGTTAAAAAAATTAGAAATACGGCACACGCTTTATACGCAAAAAAAAAAGAAAGTGTCCATAACTTGATAACAAATTACAAAGCTATTTTAAGACCCGTGATGAGTTATGCATTAGTAGCTTAGGCCTACTCCTCGACCTCCAACGTAGATAAACTGCAGCTTATGCAAAATAAGTTTTTAAAAATGTTTTCAGGATCTCCTGGGTGCATAAGGCTCTCCCAATTACATCGTGATGCGAACTGGAAACACTTTTGAAGTTTACTAAGAATTTAGCTGAGGACTGCCTAAAAACTTCTGAAATTATTGTAATAGCTTATCAGCTAATTTCTCTAAATTACAATTCCTCTCACTTTCCCAAATATAGACCACTCGAAACCTTTCTTTAATAGGTTCGATTAATAAATTTTAAAAGCAAAATTTTTACTGAAAAAAGTTATAATAATTCTGGTAAAAGTGGTGAACAAATAGTAATATTAGTAATAGCATTACTTAGTAACAATAATATATTAGTAATATTCTTACTGCCGAGCACAATGTTGGTTGGCGGAAAAAATTTTCGAGGAAAGAGGGAACGGGGAGAGTGTGAGGTAATAGTCATACCTACTAAAGGCTTAAAGAACAGAGGAGAGATAACTACTGAAAATTGTTATGAAATAGGGCAACTTGAAAACGGAACAATTCGGCTGTCGAACTCTGGTAAGAATCTGCGTTGATTACTGCTCCTAACGAAACCTTAATGATAGGTAGCATAGGGTCAGAATCTATAATATAACGTCATAGTTCTCCCGAGATTTAGGTTGACGAAATCAAATAGCTCGCTTTGATTTTTAGTCAAAAACCATGTGTAATGTTTTTATTATGGACATAATATACCCGGTACTTTTTTACAAATTTTCGTTGACGATCTGAACGTAAAAGTTAGTAAGGAAAAAAGTGCAAACTTAATGATCAGTTGAGGATAAGTTTAATTTTATTATAAAAAGCGTTTATCTCAGTGGCTACCACCATTGATTAAGAAAAGATTACTTTTAAATTATCTAGCTAGAGTGTGCGATAAAATTAATGGTTGTAAGAGTTCTTTTAAGAAAAAGTTATCCGAGGCTAGAATTACGCGCCTTCATGACAGTTATACAAGGGGTGGTCTATTCAAGCTTTCTCCTATTACTCCTGTACAACACATAATTATCTACATGAGAAGGTGATTAAACCACAAAATAAAAAAAATTCCAAATTTTAGCGTGCTATACTTACCTTTTTTAAAAAAAAGGCTTGTTGTACGTTAGTAATGTCTAATCTAAACTCTAAAAGAGGTCGAAAATCGGGATATACCGGCTATATATATATAAAAAAAAACTAGTATACCGTTTTTTTTTGAAGTTTAAGTCTAAAATTGGTGCTATAACTTTTGTTAACCAACCTTTTCGATAATTTAATAGCACCGTGCTAATATGGGAAGATTTTTTCTGCTATGCTATATTGCTCTAGCTTCAAATGTATGTATCGGATAAAAAATTATTTTAAAAAGGTTTTTGTCTAACTAGCGGATAAATATTAGTAATTTTAACTTTATAATGCTTAACTACATTCTTTATAGGTTAATCTATCCACTATGTTTATTAACAAAATAAATCCTATAACAAAGGTTGTTAAGTTATCCTCATCCTTTTGTTGAACCTCCTATGTGTCTTCTCTATTAACAAAGGAGCAGGAGTGGACTTTTAAGGAAGCTAATTACAACTATCAATATGAAATTGGTCGTTCTGGTTACGGAGACATGTTGCAGGACACTCAACGCGTTTTACTTTTAACATTTTTTGTTAAAATGATTTACTAGTTATTAACTTCTGAGCATATATAAAATTTATTTAGAATTATTTAAGTTTGTTCGCAACTTTTCCAACTCCTCGTTTGTACATAAAAGAATGAAGGGTATTTGAAAGCCTTCCGGTCTTATATTTTAAAAGAAAGTCCTCCAGAGTGCATCTTAGACATAGGCACGGGAACAGGTGCTTTTTATAGATGACTTTAAACAAAATAAAATATCTTAGTAAGTCTTAAAATAAATTTTTTAAGTTTTCAGGTTTTTGTACAGAAACTTGAAGTTAAGTAATTTAGTAATTGTGTGTAAAAGAAATTTATTTTTATTTTGAAGGTTTATTGGCGATGATGGCTTCGAAAGTTTTTGCAAATGCATCAATTATTGCTTGCGATTCATTTTCTCCTGTACTCTCACTTTGTATATTTTAAATTTAATGTTTACTGGGCATATATACTATAACATAGATGGTTAAAATTTCTAAGGAAGTTATTCAGAAAAACAAATTATCTGGTAATTTATGTAACTATTGCTTATTTGGTTTACACAAAACTTTTTAGGGGGATGTTAGCTGTGTATCTTGCTTCTATTTCCGTTAGGCTAACTTTTAGGTTTTCTTATTAGTAAAACTTCTAGAAATTTAGTCGAGCTAGCTACTGCAAGTTTCTAGATTGATTTAAAACCAGGTTAAAAGTAGTAGTCGGATTTATATTTTGGTTTTATAAAGATATTTATAAAGTTAAATATTAGGAATTTACTTATAATTTTATTTTCTACTTTACGAAGTATATTTTATATGCTTTTGATTGTAATTAGGCAACATTAAAGTTATTCACAAGAATTCTTCTGAACTTCAGATTCCTAATGATTTGGCTAAAAAGGTTCCTCTCTTATATTTGTTATTTAAAAAAGATGTTTCTTTTTTACTTTTAATTAATTTTTTAAGTTTTTAAAATTTATTTTAGTTTTTTTTAAATTTTAACCAATTCTATTTTATGAGTAATGTTTGAGTGACAGTTTCCAGGTATCTATTACTACAAGAACCACGCAGAATTGTATGTTCATCGTTATGCTAGCCAAACTTTATTTAGTAACCTTCCTACTTTGCTCTACAGTACTAAATAGTTTGCTAGTTTGAAGTTTGACCAGCAGACGCGGGCAGTAGTTAACCCCTTGTAACTGCAATCGTTTTGTTTTTCAGCAAAACATGGGGTGAGAGCTCGTCCTCTTTTTATCCAGTATTATGCATAGCCTGAGATTTTTTAGCCAATAGTGAAGCGAAGGTCAGACTTTATAGAGGTTTTCCAAAAGATAAGCTGCATCACGAAACAAAAGTTTTAGTTCGCCTTTAAAAAGGTTAAGCTTAAGGATTTTTGTTATCTGGTCCGTAGTCATTTCAACTTGGAGCACAGTAAAGAGTATGTCTTAAGAACTCGTATTCTGTTAAGAATTGTTAATCAGGCTAATTGACCAATGGGCATTAATAAAAGACCTATATGGAATCAAAGATTACGTCACAATACTTTTGTTTTTTAATATTACGAGTTGAACTTTAGACCTTGATGGCGGTATAAAAGAAATTTAGAGCTCATTTGGGCTATTTTTGCTGTTTACTGCTTTACAGGAAAGTATATTAACGGCCCGTTTCTTTTTTGAAAAAGGTATCAGAAGAATAGTAATAGATTATAATCTCTTTAAGTTCAGCCTCCTCTTTTGCATGAGTTATTAGTACAAAGCAGACATTTTCTCAATCTCCATTATTTTTTCAGACAAGACCAAGGAGTTTAAAATAAATGTTTATAACCTTTTTTTTGTAATGAAGCAAAGTAAACATGTATATAGAGCCCACAGAACCATACTAGTTGTAGAGGTGTTATTTCTTCTATCGTTAAGAATAACTTAAAACATTTTTTATATTTATTGAATTATATTGTTTATAAGTAATTCCTCCATTATTGCTAAGGAAAATTGTAAAACCAATTTATAGTACACTTTCATAATAACTAGTGTTTAAACTTTTTTCCAATACTATATTTCGATGGTTTTGTTTTTATTTAGGCATCTCTTGTTGTACACGAAATTGTTGACTCTGAACTACTTGGAGAAGGTCTTTAAAAATATTTTATATATTTGTCATTAATCATTAATAATATCTAAACTAACTGACTTTTTTTTTGTTATAAATATAAATTTATCATAAATGTTTATTGCCGGTTCTATAAAAATCAACCTATATATAAAAAAATAGCCTTATAAATTAAGTATACAAGATAACACCATTTTAAGTCTATTTTATATATCTTTATCAATACAATATATATTACTAATTATATAAATATTGCAATTTCCATATTATATCTGGTAAATACACATGTTGGTTTCGCTTATATCTTATTACTTGATACTCTTTATTATAAAGTTGTGAATAATATCGTCTATCAAAACATTTAAACTACTTAAAATACTTAAATAAATATTAAACTTTTGGAGTAATTGTTTTATATTTGTGGTAAGTGTATAATAATAATAATTATGCAGGGATTCTCAGGTCTTTGCGAGATGCCAATGAGCGTTTGCTTACCGAAGACGCCTCTCGAATTCCATATAAAGCGGTTCTTTACGGCCAGGTTTGTTAGTCGCAGAAGTTTTAGCGGTCTTTGTTTGTTTTTCTTTTTATTATTTACTATATAATAAAGAAATTACAATTTGTTTTTATCGCTTCTTATTTTTAAAATCAATTAATGTTTTGATTGGAATTAATATTTAATTTTGTACTTCACTTATTACTGCGTTGGTAATGCTTTTAAGAAGTTGGCTTTTTGTTAGACTTTGTAAAAATACTTTACATAATCTTTAAACTTCTTAAGTTTACTTATAATTTATAATATACAATATTTCCTTATTATAACTTTTAAGTTTTTAAGAAAAACCAAATAAATGTAAAACGTCATTTTATAATAAAATTACATAAGAAACTAATAAATATATATTTTTTTAATTAGATTATTTATAGCGAAGTTTTGTGGAACTGTCATAAAACGCCAACTTTTCCTGCTCTTCCAAGTTTCTATCAAAACTGCTACGGCCGACAACAGGTGGATTACTACTGTTATTATTATAACTATTTTTTGTAACTAGTGCTCAGAGAGACTTTGACTAATAATTTGCTTTTCTCTTTTTATTATAAAATGCAATTTGAAAAAATATTATATGTTTTTCACAAAAGGTAGTTTACATATCTCGTTTAGAACCAATAAGTTGTGCGTTATTGAATAAAAATAAGTTATAGAAAAAGAGCTCCAAAAGTTCTTAGTATCAGTAGTTAGTGTTAATTATAATTTAGCATTACCTTAAAAAGTAATATAATACTATTTTTGTAGTTCTACTACTAAAAGTTCATTGTGTTCCCATTAAATAATAAAATTGGTCGTATTTTTTATAGTACTTTATTGGTTGCAGTCTTTAGAAATACAAGCCAATCAAATAAAAGATTTAAAACCCGTTTCAGAAATTTTTACGATATTTGAGTTTGACTTTAGTCACATTCCCGAGTATTCAAAACCCAATCATCGTTGCGTAAACGTGCGGTTGCTCGAGAAGGCTAATGGGCATGGCGTATTGTTTTGGTATGTTATTCTTTGATTAGTTACTTTTTAACATTGTTCTTTGTTTTTACTTTACTTTATAATAATTATTTTCTTTTCCTTTTGTAATTATAACGTGAATTTATCAATATTATATACTATTTCCTATTTAAGTTATTAATTCAACTGTTTCTTATTATATTTAATTTATTAATATTTTTATTTATTGATATTTATTTGTCTACCCAAGTTTATTACTTTTAAGTAAAATTTATTTTTTGCTTTTTATAATAATTATATAGTTTTTCTTGGATATTGACAAATTAAGGGTTGCTGAGTGTTTCTTCGGATGTTTTTCTTATTGCTTATATTGAACTACAGTTTCATTATTGGAATAATATAAAGCTATTCTGTTATACAAATATTATTTTATTACTATTATTTTTTTAATTTCTGTGAAAGGAATTCCTTATAAGATAAATATATTTAATAATATGTAATTGATCGAGTAGGTAGCTTCTTCCCAAAAGCCACTAAAAATTACTTTTATGTATTATTGTCTCTTAATGAATGTTTAATGGTTTCCGTTTTTGTTTACTAGCTTTTTTAACTTTTCTTAGAGAATAAGTTTCATTGAATAATATCTCTTTGTGTCTTTATTTTGTTTATATTATTTAAGTTTCTTGCATTTTGCTATTACAAAACCTTTTTTAAAAAGTCGTTAATTTCAAAAGTGTCTTATCATTTATTGTTTTCCTTCCTATTATACAATTATGTTATCTTATTATCTCTTTAATTATATATAATTTTTACTCTTTTGAGTTTCTTTTATAATACACATAAAATAAAAGCATAACCCAAAAGGTGGGATTTATATCTTTATGAAGACATAAAGTTGAGCACCAATCCATTCGATGAAAATTACTATTGGCGAAATCATTGGATGCAAGCATTATCGTTTTTTCCTCAAGTTCGCATTTACTTCAATTTATTTTATACATTATTTAATCAATTTTTGGGTTTACAATATTTTCTTTTACAACTTTTTTGATAAACTTTTTATTTTTACAGGTTCTCGCTTGTAATAAAAATAAAACTATAAAACTTGACTGCTTTCACGACGATTATTCTGTTTGGTTTCGTGCTTTGGAATTGGAGAATCCTCATTTGTTGGACTCATTCAAAAATTTTTATAAAAGACCTTCTTGTTCCTGCAACTTTCATAATTATTTGTAAATCTTCCCTTAATATTATTAATTTTATAAATACTATTATTGACTAGACCCAGCAGCCGCATAAGTGAACTCAACAATGTTTATTTAGTTTCCTCCTTAGCCGATGCTCTCAAGAAAAATTATAATAAGTTAAATATTTATTAAATAATAACATTATTATTGACTTCCCTGTTAAAGAAGTCACGCTTCTCTGAATTTAAGCGACGGTTCTTTGGCAGCATTTATCTTATTAGCGACCATTGAAGGTACCGTTTAATTAAAATTGCGTCATGGAAGTACTCCACGCTGCTATAAAGAAACGTCCGCTATATTTACGCTGGAAGAGGACAACCGCTCTCGTGCACTTGTGGATTTTCTTCTTCAATTCTCGTTATTATTATTTTCTTTATTATATTATATTTTATTTTTATTGATAATTTAGCCAAAAGAAGTTCAATATTATAAATAAAAACGTAAATAAGCTTGAAAGAAGCGATTTTCCTCCCCTGCAAAATAATGGAATTGGGATGCTGATAGGCGAGCCTTACTTTAATACCAGTTCGTTTCCGTGGCAGGTAATTATTCGTATTACTATTAGTAGTGGTGTTATTGCTATTATTATAATTAATCTTAGAATTTATATTTTTATTACGCACTACACCAACTTTCCTTTAAAGGGCTTCTGGAAAAAGCTCCTGTCGTGGTCCCAAATAAAGCAAAGTAGAACATGTGCTATTTTTAAAACTTTATATAACTTTTTTCTTAAGGTTAATGGCATGTGCCGTAGAACTGCGCGATCTTTGGAAAACGTTATTATATCATAAATTAATCATTTAAGAAATATATTATTTACAAAAAAAGTTTACTATGTAACTATAACAAGATTTAGTTGTCATTATTTTACTAGTCACACTCCTGTCAAAGAAGTTTGTGGCTTTGATCTTTCTCCTTTTAGAAATTTGCTTTGTACAGAAACCAACTCTTTAGAATATGGTCAGCCAACTTTTATAAATATCATCTATATATCTTTAATAGTATTTTTTAGTAGAACAAAACCAACTGTCTAGCACTTTAGAAACGATAGCTATTTTTACTACAGTAGTATTTTAATATTTTTTACACTAGTAATTATTAAATATAAGTTGGGAAAGAATTATCATATATATAATAAAGTATAACTTTTTATTAAGATTTTATAATTATGATAATAACTAAACAATAAACTGTTTATTTTTTATATATTTATTATATATTAAAACATACTAAAATAATTTTAATTATAATAATAAAAAAACAACTAAGTTTTTATACAATAAAAAAAATTGTAAAACCAAAAAATTGCTTTACTTTCATTGTATAGAACTTTCTGAGAGGGACGCTTATCTGCAATGCTTGGCGCAATATCAGTTTAAGATCTTATCAGCTCCATTGGAACTGTTAATATTTGATTCGTTAACGGAATGGTCTGAAGATTTGCAGTCAAAAAAATCTCTTAAATTGAATACGTGCGTGAGTTTCGGAAAAGATTTCGTGGGCCATCACACGTGCCACGGACTGATAGTCTACGCGGATTACTATTTAACTCCGGAGCACATTGTTTCTGGATTTCCATCTTTGGACTTTCCTTTGCGAAAACAAGCCCTATTTTTTTTTGAAAGACCTCTAAAATTTCAACCGTCTTTTCCGCCTACACTTTCCGTAGAGAGTTTTTTTTCAAAAGATCGACTAGACTTAACACTCCTTGTAAAAGTACTTAAAGACAACTGAAAGATATCTTTGCCAAGCGGAAAATTTTCAAGAATCCAGTGCAGTATTTTTTATTTGTGCAACGCTATTGTAAACTTTTTTTAAGTTAATAGAATTACAATGTTAATAAGTAGTACTAAAGATCTGCTTTAAGTTAACTGTATCTGGACCTTTTTTACTATCAATTTATCTTGTTTCCTTAATATATTATGTATTATATATATAAAGTAACTATACTTTTTTTTAACAAAATCGGATCTGACTTAAAAACTAGTTGGTATGTAAGCAAATTTCTCGCGATATATTTTATAAGTTTCAAATAGAAAAAATCGTTGCCTTCTCAGCAGCACTAATTTAAGAGTATACGGGCTCATTAGACGTACTAATTATTTGGAATCTACAACTTCATTTATAATTTAAGTAATTAAAGGTACAACTCGAGTAAAAAAATTAAACTGATTAAGTATGTAAGTAAAACAAACAAAAGAAAAATTTTCAAAGTTTTGACTTCTATAACTGGCGAAGAGTAGAAGAGATGAAGTGAAGCTGGAACGAAGTGTAGGAAAAGAGTGGGACAGCCGCAGTGCAGCGTCATTCAGATCTTAAGGCAAATTAGTAGTAGCCCGGTAACTCTAATAAATAACGTTTTGTACGAATAAAGCTTGTGGAGTAAAAATAAAAACCAGACATCCACGTTTATTAATATCACTATTATAATAACTCATAGAAAAAAGTTCAAGTTTAGCTAAATAAATGTTTTCGAACCCAACTTTTTATATAAAGCATTTTATCTGAAACAATTCTTTCTACTAAACGAAAGAACTGCACGTATCCTTAATCAGTCGGGCTATCAATAACAGTATTTTAAAATAAACCAGGTAACACCAATGTTGCTATATTGCGTTAAACTATAAATAATTCGGAATATTAAGTAAATATATACTTACTATTAGACCGCCAGCTAAAATGGTAATCTACGAGTGGGATCTTCCCGTCGAAACTTTACTAAATTTTAAAGCTAAAATTTCTCGTTGGATCCCTGAGTCGTGCAAATAACAACTTTTCCAGTTTAATTCTCCATCTTTATCCACAATTTCTTTGAAATGGTTCATACTCCCTCCTACTCCAAAATAATAACTTTTGGCCGCTATAAGACAAACAGCTTCGGGATTAGTTCGAGATAAACAACGTTTGATACAGTAAAAAAGTTTTTCATGCGAGAGATTATGATATATCGTTTCTGAGCTTATTATTAAGTCGAATTGCTTAGCACCGGAAGTATTGAAAGCACTCCAATCACAATAATATAATTTATGTTGATTTAAAAGTTCTATGCAAATGTTAAATTCTTCACTGTTTCCTATATTAAGCTGTTCGCTAGTGTTTAAAACAATATTTGAAAGAGAAATTTGGGCCAAAACTTCCTTATTAAAATCTTGAAGAGACAGATGACAAACCAGATTAAACTTAGACTTGGCCAACTTAGCCTAAAAGTAATAGTAACTTTACATAGTTAAAGGGTAGACTATCAGAAATTTATTAAAAATTACCAGTAACGAAGATGGAAGAGAACTTCCGCAACCCAATTCTAAAACATTAAGTTGAAATGGATTTTTCTTATTTTTGGAGAGATTATAAATATAGGTGTAAAGAAAGGAGCAAAGATCCAAAGCACACTCCCAGGTTTTAAAACCTCCTTCATAAAACCCTACCAAAAAATAATTTAGATCAGTCAACAAGGGTAAACCTTTAATAATTGGCAACGAGTTAAAAAATAAAAAATAAAAAAAAATAAAAAAATAAAAAATTCAACTAAGTCTTATAGTTTTTACTTATGAATGGCCTGAATTCTATACATCAGCAATGGCTTAGGATACTAAACTAGAGATTACACTTACAATTATATAAGTTATAAATTAAAATTTAGAAAAAGTAAAAAAAATACTTGGCAAGTAAAGTTTTAAAGATATATAAATAGTGAAAGGCAGTAAAATACATAATCTTGTTAGAAATAAATATAAATATTTTTATACCATAAAAACAAAAGTTAGGGTTTAAAAATCGAGAAGGAAGGAAATTAACAGGCGATATTATTTAAATTTATAAATGAATTTACCGGGGACTAAGTCGCTGCTGGTCTTTTGAATTAGAGATGAGTCAACGCTGGACAATAATACTTTTTGAAGGGTAATAGTACTTTCTTCAATATTTAAGTTATTAAGTTCTAGTTCCTTGAAGTTTTGTAACAGTTCACTGTCCCAGCTTAAAATCTTTAAAGCAAAAAAACAAATTTCACATTCACAAAACACGGGATGAACAGGAATATCAATTCTCTCACTAGTAAAGAAAGAGCGGTTATTTAATAAAGCAACGAAGTTTGGTTTAAGTTGGCCAACATGTTTACTAGTGGGTACTAACTCGGTTTCTTCAAGAGAGGGCCCATTAAAAAAGCAAAACATGTTTAAAAAGTATAGACACTACGACACCACTGTATTTTTTGACATAAATGAATATATAGAAATAGTAATTGAATCGATATGTGTGTATGTTTAAAAATAAAACTATCCCGAAACCACTTTAAAAGACTAACGCCAAAACTCTTTGAGGGAAAAAGTTACTCGTGTTTTCTGCTCACTCCGCTTAGAGTGGTATACACGTTAGTAGCTATTTGCTTAATCTCATATAAAGGTACTTGCTGTATTTAAAAATCTCTGACTACATATTCTCTCCAAATTTTCGGTGTTCAGGTTTCAACTTAAGCGTCATTGTCCAGAAAGTTTACTAAATTAAAAGACATTACGAAAAATCGTTTTTGAACGGGAAAAAAGTTCATATTTAGTCCTATTTAAATCTGAATCTTACTGAATGGTACTCTGAGAATAATGTTCGTTTATTTGAATATATAAAATAGTTTTTATAACAAAATGGTCGGACTTTGAGTTATTTGCAATGATTAATCTTAACTTTTTACCGCATTTAAACGATAGAAACATTTACGTTCCCATATACTATAGTATGATAATAAATTTTACTTCTTGCAAGGGCTCTCATATAAAGCACGCCCAGTTTTAACAGTAATTTTATTTTTTTAGTTAAAATAATATAAAGTTTTAAAAAAGATTGCATATAATAAAACACTAAGCATACAGAGATACACCTCAGACTGTGTAGCGATTTAAAGTTTATGTTAAGTAAAAATTATTTAGTAAAGAACTTATCAGAGAGTCGTTTAAACCACACTATTCTTTTATATCAACTTAATTAGTGTTGGGATTATTAAGAAGTCCCGAGCATAACTAAAATAACCTCCACCTTCAGTCAAACTCGAGTTAGACCGCAAGTTTTTGTAAGTTGTAAAAAAAATTTGTTTTTTGTGAAATGATTTACTACCGCAGTGGGCTAACTACAAGTATGCTCCACGTACGCTTCCAACCCATTTACTGTTACGCTACTTTAAAGAAAAATAAAAATACTCGGAGTTTAGTATTATTTTAGAATGTAACGTGACTGAAAAAGTTTATGCAGGCATAGCTTTTTTGCAAGGCTTTAGTTATAAGATAGACCTGTAATAATAATTTTGTTTAAACTTATTTAATAAATACTTGTATAAAGGTTTTATAAATCAGCCTTCCTTTGTTTTTTCAAAACTTTTATTTATGTGTAGTATGTTTCACTCAATTTATTAAACTTTGCTTGCAAGAATAAAGGGAGTAACACTATTGCTTCGATTTCCTAGGGAAGAGATATTTTATTGTTAATTAGGTTAAAATGTATATATATACACAGTTTTAGAGTAATAATTATTTATTCAGCGCATGCAATTACGGAAACGGGGATGTTTACAATATCTTAAAGTTTTCCTTTACCAGCACGTTTTAATAAGATTCTTTAATTTTTTAGATTTTTATGTATATTACTTGTACCACCACTTTTAGAAATAAAAAAGCATTTTTCAATAATTAACTACACCAAATTGTTAGCAACTTAAAGTAGTGCTTTTTTTTGTAAGAACAACTTTAGGTGGTTACGTTTAGTAGTAAAGGAGAGAGTGCCAGGTATGAGGAGAATTTCAATTTAATTTGAGCATTAAAAAGCGAACCCCATAAACTTACCCCCGCCTCCTTTAATCAATTCAGTCTATAGGTGACTGCTGTTAAACCGTATTAATGGGCCTAGAATGTTCATGGATGGGCCCTACTACGTATAGGATTGGTAATTAATTGTCCGAGGTTGTATAGAAATTGTAATGCCACTCTGAAGACAGCTTCTGTCTTTAGGAGAGTGCGAGTTAATTATTAAACTGTTCTTCTTTTCTGTTTCTGTTACCTAATGCAATGCTATAGAGATTAATGGTGAGGGCTTTGCGATATGAAAGGAACTTAGCAAAGAATAAAATCCAAAGAAAATTTAAAATCTATGGAAATTAACCCGTTATACTAAGCAAAGTTGTCAGATTTTTTTTCTTATTAATTTTTTTTTTCTATTACGAGCACTTGTTGCTAATTTAGAAGCTCTACAGACAAAATTTAGTTAACTTAAACTACTTAGGATATGCTTATGTCTAAAGGCCAATGGAAGCTCTTTATTATATAACTATATACTCATCCCTACAGATACAAGATCAATCATGGGTTTCCAAGTAGTTTCATAAGAAAGCGAGATTTCAAGGCTACTAAAACAAAGACTGTTCACCAGCTAAAATATAGTAGTGCCCACAATAGCCTTATTAATAAAGATGTAATTAATATCCGCAACAGTGATAGTAATGATAAAATTATTTCTAGTAGTTATTTATAAAAATATTGGAGGTAATGTTATTAATGGCAGCAAGTCCGATCACTGTAATAAAAATAGTAACCTTAGTACGGAAATGACAACTTTAAAGTTAGTTAGAGGCTCAGAGCTGACCAGTGTTTCAACTATTGCCCCTACCACCCCGAATAACCATCTCTAGCAGCAGCATCTCCACGGGCTCATAAAAAGAAACTTCTTTACAATTTCTGCAACCTAATGGGAGGAAGAGTCAGAGGTTATAAGATCCGCTTTTAAAAATGAAAATTTTATCGACTAATGAACACCACACCATCAAATCACTCGGTCGTCCTAAGGAGGGGTTACAATATATTACTTGTCAATGTACTGAGGAGAGTTATTTAAGTTTGTTTTCCGCGATATATATTGAGAACTCGACACCTTCACTATCGAAACAGATTTGCACGCACAAAGCATCACGCCCCTACAAGCGTATCTAAGCGAAGATCACTTTCAACATGAAAGAAAGAAGTGTTCACTACCATAAATACTGATGCGTACACCCAGATTTATGTCAAAAGCATCTAGATTTATAGACTGTTTTCCATCTTTGATTCAGATATAAAAGAACTAATAATAGCGTTGGTCAGTGTCATCTCTTTAGATTCTGAAACACTCTGCAAACTTCTGCTCTGGGACTCTCGTAGGCGTCATATGCTGGGAGGACCTAATGACTGCGAAGTGCTCTAAAGCAACAGGCACATTTTTAATTTGCATATTGTAGTGAGACTCACAGCGCTATTTATAGAGGAGGCAATTACTCTATCTCCTACCGTTACACCGATTATTTTTCTTATGCCACCTATAAGAGCGAAACTGATCCAAGTACCTTCTAGGGCTAATGCTACTCACGCTGTCAGGTAGTGACAGCATGAACAGCCACCCAATCGACATTGCAACAATTGTTAGCTATTATATGTATGTATACAAACTGTCCGACCATGCCCGAGACTATAAAGAGTGTAGAATCCATATTAAAAATTTGAGATGAGTCCACAAAAAAGAACATGCGGATTTCTCTATATGTGTCTTTCAACCCTGCAAGTTTGCGACATAATGCAGGGATCGGCTTCATACTACCGGCAGAGGCGTTGCTATCCTAATTAGACGAAGTATTTAATAGCGCTCCAGCCCCTGTAATGTATTAAGACAGCTAGGAGGCAATCGCAACTTTAAGCCCTCCGGTAAACCACTAACTCTTCAGCAAATCAAAAAGACAGCGCTACCCTCTGAAAAATAGTTAGGCGACTTACCAATCAACATAACACCCCGATATTACAGTGGTAACGATAAAGAGAGCGAAAACCTTGACTGCTTATTCTGCTGCCCAGTGTCCGCCACACATCATTTTCAGCCTATATAACGCGCTACTTGAACCGGGTTTTTCTAAGTTAATAAGGCTGATGCCCTAAAGCAGGTCTACCAAAGCTCAAATCAACCCCTCAAAGCGCTACCGAGGCAAAAGGCCCCCGAATTCGTGGTTCGAGGAAGGGCTCTAAATTATTTGTGGTGCCTCGTTAACTCAGCCATGGTTTTCTGCATTTTTTCGGTGCGATGAGGAATATTGGTAGTCATGATGTTACCGAAGACTCCGGAACTGACATCTGAGACTCGTAACTACACCCATCACCCTTTCGTTGGCAGTAGGCGAGGTGGTTCAAGCAGTTATACTAAAAAGTTTTTAGGCAGTTGTTAATGCCTTTAAATGTTTATTGAAGTTGAACCCAACAACATTTTCGCTTTTCCCAGTGAATGGCACCGGCCTTATTTATAAAAAATTACTGACGCTGTAGTTCTCGACGCCGAGGAGGTCTTAACAAAGTATGAATGGAAATCTATTACGCAAACTGCGTGCCTTAACAAATTCCGCGTGGCCTTTGGGAATTACTTTTTAAGGCCGCCTGTATTGTACGTTCGCTCATTCACAGCATACGCATCTACTATCTGGGTCTATGGCTCATCGGCGTAAACGTTCTGGCTCCTACAGCAACAGAATAAACTGGCCGCCTTCCAACAAAAGCGCCCTAGTTTTATGCGCAATGACACACTGCACTACAAAGCACAGATTGAGCCAAGGAATGGCAGTATTTAAAAGCAATGTTGTTGCTCTATATAAAAGGAGAGTTGGGCGCGCTAATGGTCTTTTGGCGGGAGGACTCACTTACGAGTCAAGGGGCGACGCTTTACCGCCGTTCGTGTGGCGCCCTCTTGCATGCCAGGTGAATACAAAGTGAGGAGTATAAATCGAATGCGAAGGATGCATGGATAGTATTATGATAAATTTTGACTTGCAATTGTAGGTAACTAAACCTGTTTGAGAGCTTGTGAAACTTATTAACCCAATTAAACGCCAGGAGTTGCCATTTTAACATAATGAAAATACACCTAAACCACGTTTTTTATCATGATTAAAAATCACCTACCCGTTTTTTTAACATATAAAAGATTTCATTGGATTTAATAAAAGTAGCCATTATAAAGAACCTTTTAAGTTATCTCTACTTAAAGTTTTATATAAAGTTCCTATTTTGAATAATTCTCCTCTTTTCTTATACACTTTCCAATCACTTATACACTGATTGTATCCTATAATAAGCTCAGATAGTTTAGCTTCACCTTTCTTTTTAATAATAATAAATGTTAGACCACCCTTTCTAAAATTCGTAATGATTTCACTTTAAGCACTTACACAAACTCCCAAATATTAGCAGTGTTATTATTGAAGATAATGCTCAATATTTTTTTAGAGAATTAATTTTTCCTTTAAAAAGTAATAAAAATTAAGTACTTAACTAAGTGCAAAGTACAAGTAAGATAAAATCAAGCTGTTTAAACAAAAAAGGTATAACAAATTGTTATTACCTCTTACAACAGTACATTCCTTAAAGGAAATCCTAGTAATAAAGGTTTAACATAAATTATTTGAGAACATTACACTACGCTAATGGCAGGCTACGAAAATTATATTATCATTTACATTGTAGAAAAATTTTCCAATAAATTTAGACTATTACATATAAAAATATTGTAAATAGATAAACATGTCAATAATCAACACAGAGAAAATATTAAAGGGGATACCTTCTTACTTAAGTCCGGTTGAAAAACCAAAAAAGTTAAAAACTGAAAAACATTTTTGACCTGGAGGTATTAGTCAAAAAATTCGTGAAATTGTCACGTGCTAACCGTGTTTCCTGGTCTTTTAAATTTCTTTTTTTTCTCGTTGCGCGTTCACGTCTCCCCGCTTATATTTTTCTCTGTGAGGTTTGGTGTTCATTAGTTTTAAATATACATTTAACATACTTCTAAGCCAGCTGAAAATATGCAAATATTTGTTAAGACTTTGACGGGTAAAACCATAACTTTGGAGGTCGAACCTTCAGATACAATTGATAATGTTAAAGTAAAAATACAAGATAAAGAGGGTGAGTGTTATTCCTTTTTTTAGGTATATTTCAGCAGTCTTGGCTAACGTAGCATTTTTAGGAATTCCACCGGATCAACAGCGTCTTATTTTTGCTGGAAAGCAGTTAGAAGATGGCCGTACACTGTCAGATTATAATATACAAAAAGAGTCGACCTTGCACTTAGTATTGCGACTTCGTGGTGGCGCTAAGAAACGCAAGAAGAAGACTTACTCTACTGCTAAGAAAACTAAGCATGTTCACAAAAAAGTTAAAATGGCAATTTTGAAGTATTATTCCGTTGATAGTTCTGGCAACGTTACACGAACTCGTACCGAATGCGGTACTTGTGGCTCTTGTACTTTTATGGCTAACCATGCTGATCGTAAAACTTGTGGGAAGTGCTCAAAAACTTTTTTTAGTGTTAAAGCATAGCTAAATTCCGTGGTTATAATAAAAAACTATTTATATAAATTTTTCCCTTTCTTTGTAAGTTATAGCTTTTTATTTAACTTAATAAAGTAGGCCTTAGTTATCTTTTATACTCTTTTGTAGTATGAAGTAAGAAGTGAAAGTTATAAAAATCAAAGTAAAGATAAACTTTGCGAAGAAGTATATTATTTCAAATGCACATAAGGCATATCATTTACAGTCGTCGAACTTTATAAGTTCTATTATAAAACTGGAATCTTTTTTAAAACTTTAGTAAAGAGCTTCACTGCTTTAACTAGTGTTGAGTTCGTGTAAAGGCAGGGAGCAAAGAAAAATAATTTTTTTAAGTTTATTAGAGATATTTATTTTAATGCTTAAACTAATTTAGAATCCGAAGGTATTTAAAAATTTTACTTAGTACCCTTCATTACTCCAAGAAATTATGTGTTGAGGAAAAGCTTTATTGCACAATTCAGAAGTGATGCTATGGTCAGCCCTACAAAGTTAACTTTTTTTCTCAAATTTATTATCATTTGAAGAAAAATAACAACCGTCCGAATGAATAAGAATATCCGTAAATTTTGATAACTTTCTCACTGGCATTATAGGAGATTCTACCGCCTCCCGTCACTTTGTGGTTAATGCTAAATTTTTAGTGAGTAAAAATACTTAAACTATTGTTAGTCACAATATATATAAATTTAATTATTCCAATAAGAAAAATAAAATATAACCCCTTTTCCAAAAAAAAGTCCACAAGCGCCTGAGCAGCTTCCACGTGATAGCGGGCACTTGAATTACCTCTAACAAAATAGACTTCAGCATCTAGAAATAATATTAAATTAAGTAAATATATAGTGAATAACTTTTACAGATAAAAATCTGCTGAACAAATTAAGGGATAAAAATAGTTAAAAGAAAGGGTTTTTTTAGCGAACTTTGAAATTTTTTTAACCATAAGCCTTTACAAGTAAATCGTAAGTCTTTTTTTGAATAAATAATTATTTTTTTTGAAAGTTATATAAACCTTTTTGTTTCTTTTAAATGGTATTATAAAAAATAATATTATAAACAAAAAATGAAATTTATAACAGTACAAAAGAATTAAAAAACGCTAAAAAGTAAAAGTTTATAAGGTACAAATTTTTAAACCTAACATAAAATAAGCTCCTACTTAATTAAAGTGTGACCCCTAATTGTAAAATTATAGCCCACACTATGGCTTTAGTTAAAGAATAGAGAAAAGTTTAAGGCTAAACCGGAAGAAGGATCGATTGCTTGGATTAAAACATATTTCTGAGTCCCAGATTCGATTTCTACAGATTTCAGCTGGCGTAAAATAGAGGAAACTAGAAAGTAAACCAATATACTACTTTTAAACTTTTTATTGATAAAGTGATTACTCGTTTGGGGATCGTTTTTAGTGGAGTCTACAATGCGACTGGCCTTATTCAAGGCCTCTACTCGCGATCTGTCTTCAGATGAAGTGGTATAGCCAGTAGAACTAGCCATCGTTTTTAAAATGTTATTTTGCACAAAAATTATAACACTCGTAAGTCCTTTAAGAAAAAAAGTTATCAATTACAAAATGACTAAAAGTAAACTTTAAAAGACTGTTTTTACACTTTAAATGACAAAATATAATAATTTCTATTTATATAAAACTAGGCATTGGAAATTTTAGTAGACAGACTCCTCACTTTAAATAACTAAATAAAATTATTAATTACAATTTTATAATTCTATTTATCTAAATTAACTAGACATTACATATTAAGATAAGTCTTAGGGTAACCTACCAAGACTCGAATATAAGATAAATGAGCGATGCCCCTACTATTAAAGTCGGCCCAAATAAAGAATATTCTGATTGGGTTTTCTCGGAGGTAAAAACTTTTAAACGTCAAAGTTCTTACTTATTCGACTATTGTACAGAGGGTAAAGTGTGGCGATTTAAAAAACTGCCAAAGCTTTTTTGAAGTTTAATTTCGATAAAGTCGGTCTGTTACTTGTAATATTATAATAGGGAAATATAATGTTGCAATGAGTTACATGATATACAAAGTTTGTATACATTATTTTTGCCAGTAAATTATATTTACATGTTGAAGAGAACTCTACATTTCTGTTACAGGTCGTTGGAAGTTGGCAAAAGTAAAAGACCCATAGATGTTTAGAAGACTATTTTTCCGTTAGATGGGATTTTTTCCTAGCTATAATGTAAATACAGAATACAGTTTCGTAAACTTTTATTTTTTACGTTTTTTAAGCTCGGTTTCCACCCAAGCTAATGCCCCATGCATAGTTTGTAAGTTATCATGTTTTAACCTGTCGGTACTCCTTTCGCTTCAAATAAATTTAATTAAAAGTGACATGTACAAGATATAGTTGAATAATGATCCCTTTCTAGTTAAAAGCTTCTTTTTTTTAGCTTTTACAGTTGATGGTATGATTTACCTAGCGGTAAGTGTTAAATAAGATAGATTCCACGCATTTGAAGGTATGCGCGCCCTGCGGTTTGACTTTAACTGATAGATTTAATCTATTAGAAATTACATGAGAAAGGAGTGCATTCCTTTTATAAATCTATTTTTTGGTGATGAAAACATTTTTATTAAAATTTTTTTTTAAGGTTTTTGGGTTATTATATGCGACACTTAGTAAATTTTAAGTAATAGCTAATGATCTGATGAGTGAATGTACTACCTGGTTTTTTAGGGTTCCTTCTTCTAGAGAAAGCACTTTAGAACAGTTATGAGTTTTTATACATTTTTTAAACAATAATAGTTCTTGCAAGTTTTCAATCATTCTTTTTTTAAAAATATAATTTACATACCTGGCATTAATAATTTGGTCGCCAATACTTTTTAACCGATGCACGACCTTAAATTACTTTCAAAGCTTGCAGCAATCAGATTATATAACTTAAGGTTCTACTTGCTGAACCTAAAATTCGCGATGCCACGTCGCTGAGTATTCGGAAAGATCCTAATTATGGATGTGGTAATTTATATTCATAAATTATTAACTTAACTACAATTTTTAGTGATAATACTTTCGCTTTTTGTACTTCCTCGGCAGGGAGTCCTACCAGTAATATAAATATCTCTTTAATAACAGAACTGAAAACACTATATATAAATGTAGCCGGGTTTTATTCTAAACAATTAAATGTTTAAACCTTTGTACTTCTGTAATGAGCAAAAGCCATGTTAAAGCTTCGTTTTAACATCATATGTCGCTTTTAATGTACCAGTAGTATTTCTTATAAGCTTATCGTATATGAAAAATTAATATAAAATATATTTTTATGGGGTTGAAAAATCAATTAGATTTACAAAGTTCGCCAATAGTCAATGGGGGTTGGTAATTCTGCTTTACCAGTTTTATCGATGAAATTTTATAAAAAGGTATTAAATAATTTCCATATAACTTCTGCAAGGAGCTCGTCAATCCCATACTCCGCCCCCTATATCAACAAGGCTTAAAGTTTCTCTCTCTCTACACAGCCTTTTTTTCTTATCGACATCTTATCATTTATAAATTGTAAAACACTTTTCTTTCTTCTGTTAATATTCTTTTAATTATGTAATCTTTAGAAGCTTCATCGCTGAACGCTGCTTAAAGGTTTGCTAACTAAGCTAACAGTAATAAAAAGTTTTCGGTACACAACCGTAAGCCTTTGCTCGAAGTTAGAGAGAAATTCCTTATTCGTGCAGTATGAATTTTTTCCTCTTCTGCAACTTTGAAGCAGTTATATGTATAATAATTAGAAAAGTCAGGAACAACGCCTTAAAAATAGTTAATTCTCTTAATGTGAAGTGTACAGTTAACAAAAGAAACTTCATTTAACATAATACGTATTTAGAAATATCACTAATACTATGGCAACATTTTCTTAACAGTAGAATGGTCCTCGAAACAAATTTATATGAATTGTAAAGAAGCTTAATGGTATATCGTAATGGACACAATTAGGGGGTTTATTTTTTTTTTCATATAAAGCGGGTTGGTAAAGAGATATATTCCCTGATAGTAAACTTACTTCGGGTAGTACAACTACAAGTGATTGATACTAAAAATAACTTTGTAAGCGAAGTTAAAAGTTCTTACTTCAAAAGAAATACAAATACAGTGGTTTATTAAAAATTTTTGCACTAAAAAATATTCATACAAAGGGGCGGTTTAGCTTAAGGTGTTATATTGCAATGAAAAGTATTGTTTCGAAAGAGCCTGCACACGGAGCGAGGACGCTAATGCCGGGGGTCAAAGGTTTGAAGAGCAGAGGAATACGTCATGTTCGACTGATTAAACAAAACATTTAGCCTTCCTTTTCGCGCTAAAAAAAGCTTACCCTTGCTCCATAATAGAGGGTATAAAGTTTGAATGAAGCAAGTACGTAATTTATGTGCAGTTGTCCGGGCAACCTAGAGTCGAAAATATCCCCTAAAAAACTATTTTGCTTTTAAAAAGACGCGAAATTAGAAGAGCAAAGCATTTATGCTTGATAAAAAACGCTTTATTTCTTTTAATTGTGTTCATAGTAAAAGCTCACAAAACAAAGAAAGTTAGGATTTAATAACTTAATAAATGATTTACTGCACCCTCTAGGTGGGCGTCCACCTTTTGGGGTGGTGGGAAATCTAACAAAGATCATTGAAACGCATACTTAAGACAGTTAGTTCGTGCCCACCGACGCAACTCTCTTTTTCAAACTTTGATAATTTCGTATTTACACCTTTCCGTAAAATTGAGACCTTCTATTTCGCCGTTCGGGGCCACTTTCTTAAATATTTTCTCCTTCAACCAAAACCATAATACTATATAATACTCGCTATTCATAGTTTCGTTTTAACAGCTCCAGAGGGCGTTTCAAATTATCAACAGGTCGTTTTTTTTGGTACACTGTGAGCAAATGCGGTACCCATTTCGAACAGTGTTATGCTTAAATGATTTTGCAAAATATAGCCCACACGGTCCATTAATAGCTTTTCGATGTCAGCTAACTTACGCAAATTCATTTGATGATCACCGAAAATTTAGTGAATTTTTGAGGTTTTGGAATAATCACCTCATATGGGCTCTTAGAGTGTTCAGCTTCATCTGTGTCTGTACGGCCTCGTTAAAACTCAGCAAATTACCGACAAATCTTAGTTTTTGACGGATCAGATTCCTTATAACACTTTTCAAGCCGTTGCTGAGTTAGAACTTCATTTTTTTCAATCAAAAAAACAGCGCTTGTTCAACACAAAATTCATTTTTATTTTCTTGTTTTTTAAAAATAACAGAGGTAACGTCACTAAAATTACATTATCTCGTGATAACTTATGGACGCTGAAACTTTGATACGTATCTTTGGAAGGTTGCCGCTAACTGAATATTGTGTTTTCTTTAGAGGGCAGCTATCGGTTAATCTCGGGACTTTTTAGGCGAGTGTTATATAGTGCGTTTTTATTATTATTCATAAAGGTAATAAAAGGCCGAGTTGGTAATAATACAGTCTCAGCGGCTTCCTATCTTTGAATAACTATTTATAAATAACTCAGGTCAATAGCACCTATGTACTTTATTAATAAACTCGAATACTTCTGAATTTTTTTTTTCACTGCCTAAATCAGGGTCAATTGTTGTTGTGGCAAAAACTTAAATTAACTGAGAAAAAGTACTTCCAAAATTGAAAAATTATACCTAGTTGTAATCTTGCATATTTGAATAAAAACCCTGGTTAAATCGGGATAGGAGCCGAGTTAAACTTTATTAAAATTGGAAGCAAACTAAAACTACGCGCGTCTATAGAGCGGATCGCGTTCTGTATATATAGAATTCTCGGAAATTTTGGAGAGATCTGAGCCAATCATTTTGTATTTTTTCATCCAATGGGTGGTCAAATTTTATTTAAAATTTAGTAATTTTGGGTTTCCTTTTTTGTAAGAAAACCAGAGGTTCTGTTTATAATTTTGCTTTATTATTTAGAAAGCCTACCTATGCTTAAATGTTTGTTAAACCCTTCTAATTAAATCTATAACCTTCTTTTTTCTTGGGTTATAATTATGAGAGAAAAAAAGGGACATAGTTTTAAGGAAAGGGGTTACTAAGATAAGCTTAAAAACACAGCTAAAATAAGATTGAAGCGATGTAAGTTTGAAAACAGTCATAATTTTATGAAAACGTAACAATTAAGCTCCATAATACTATTGAAAGAAACGATATAGTTTAAATAAGTTTAGACACATGCTCAAGGTTGTTTATAACAGTAGTTAGGCGTAAAAATATTTTTGAGGTCTGTGTATAATAGAGGGTAGTTGCAAGAGCAGTTTTCACCTGGAATTATGTAAGTTTAGTTCGCGCACCTGCTGCAGTTTTTACTTTTTCAATATTAGTTGTATAGTCGCCTTGGCGTGCTTGGGGTTGGAAGCGGGGTGGTATAATGGTCAAATAAAAAAAATCCTGTACTGTCAAGTACTTCGACTTACCTATATTATATCTTTTAACTGTTTATAGTGTACTTTATATAATTTTATAAAATTTAAAAATCTGATAAGTTTTCTGCTCCTAATGCTGTCTTTAGTAAGTTGATAACATTGATTTATAAATCTTGATTTTCCTCTGAAAGAAATGAGGCAGGGGACATAGTATTCCTACCGAAGCAGAAACAATTTTTTTTTATTAGAAAACAATATAGAAAAGGTTTAATATTTGTTTGTACTGAACTGACTCAGTGATTCGCTTAAAAAAAGGCTAGGGGTTCAGTCATTTTGAAATTCCAAGAATTTCGCAAAAGATATGTTCGCTAAGCAATCATGCAATAAATCACATTTATTTTTTACCGGTACACTTTAAAATATATATAGTGATAACTAATACCTTCTTTGAGGAAAGATGGGTTTTATTTATAGACATATGAGTGACTGCTAAAATTACGAAGGTAAAAAGTAGCAAAATATATGGCTTTTAATTAATAATGCGCCTAAATGGTTTGATGAATGCAACACCTACTCTTGGCTTATTAAAAAATTAGTTGGTATAAAATGCATAAGAATTAACATAGGTCGTAAAGACACTATTTCAGCTTTATCCTTAAATAAATGACGACCCTGAGAATGCAAGAATTACTTAAAGACTCTGCAACCATGCCACAAAGTAATACAGGGAAGCTAAGACTAGTTCTTATTTATTGTGAAAATATCCTAAACGTATGCTATTAGCTTAAAATACTATTTTGCCTAATGACCCTCTAATCTTAAGAAAGGGCTTAAAAAAACAAATAAAAGTTACGACACGGATAAAAGCACAACTTCTCTTTTAAGACCTAATTCAAAAGAAAGACCTACCATCTCGATTTGGAAGACCATCCATTTAACACAAGAAAGGTATAGTAGTTCATTATTAGAAGCGCCAAGTGATTTAGGTTTAACTATTAGGCAACTGGAAAGGGCTTTCATACTTGTTAGTAAAAATTTAACAATCAAAAAGGTGTTTAGTACAAAAGGACCTGGATTCCACCTCGTAGTTACGGACGCAAGCTTTCAAATTAAACTATAGTGCATAACTGTTAAAGGGGTTAAGGGAAAGTGGGTAAAAGGTTTATACTTTCCCAAAAGAGAAAGAAATTAAGTTAAAGCTAGGTGTAACTTGGCGAACTATTATAAATAATAAATAGCGAACTTAAGTTCAAATTACATAAAGGTAAAGTATTGATTTTGTAAACAAAGTCAAAGCCCAACCTTAATATTTATTTAAACCCCTGGTTAGGGCTAGCTGACTTTAGATGCCTAACCATAAACTAACTATTAGTACAGAGGTATTCTAATGGTAAGCATATGCTTCATAAGTAAGATGTCTATAAAGCATGTATATGAGGTTACCAGCCCTTAACTCTGAGTCATGTAAGTTTGCTCTAATTTAAAGATACTTGTAGGCAACCGAGTGCAGACTAAATTACTGTTTTTCTCGGTTTATTTTGTGACTGTACACTGCCGAGTGGACAAAGATTTCTGTGTCCCCAGACCACTTCTCGTACAAGTGTGATAGTGCGCCGAATATGACTGCTGTTATCCCGCCACGACTGCTCTCGGCTCTTGGCGAACATAAATAGTAGTTCAAGTTTCAAATGCCATCCGCAGAATGCGGACTATTCTTGGTTGTAGTCTTTTACTTCTATGATTCACCGTGTCATTAGTTGATTTACCTATGCTATTGTTACTATGCGGTTGCTTAACTAAATTCGGACGCTTTTGACAAACTAACCTCAGAATTGTGATTACATTATCTACTCATTCAAGATCTAAACGGAGAATAAGCGTGCACTGTGAATAGTTATTGGTGGCTATACACTATTAGAAATAAATACAAGTACATTATGTTTGTCCTAGACTTATGCGGGTTTTATATTTTTCATGTTGCTAACGGCTTTATCTTTGATTTTATTTGATTTAAATCTCGTGATGTTGTATTAGTTGACTTTTTAATTGCGGTTATTAACTTACCGCAGCTTCCGCATAACATAAATTGCATTGCCTTCTGCAACCATCTATCCCTACAGGTGGTTGGGCAGCGTATTGTAACTAACTTGACATTAATTTTATAGGCTAAGCAGAGCGCAAACGATGAGTATTTGCGTACGAAAGCAGTTGTCATGTTATCGCCTCGAATAAGCATTGACAAATAATTTTATGTGCCATTATTGAGTCATTATAACGTTTAGACTACTTTTTACCATGGAATATGAGTTTGGTAAAAGACTATTATAACCAAAGTTAACACAATCGTTAATATCGGAAGCTGTTAAAAATCATGCTAGTGCGAATTAGCTACTCATTGGGCGCGGAAAGTATCTTGAGCCAACTATGTATAAGTAGCCCCTCGGAGCAGTACAGTACTCCTTCGCAAGAGCAACAATGGTGACCATTTTCACAAGGTAACTTGTGTCTCTCTTCGACGCTCGTGGGTCTCCTTTGTAACTACTTTATTTAACTGATTTGTAGTGCTTTAAAACTTAAAGATAAAAGTAAACACTAAATGAAGTTCTACCCTCTGATCGCCTGAAAAAGGCTGTGGCACTAATAACAACTTTTGTAGAATTTAATGCTTAATAGTGACTTTAAAAAGTTTTTTACAATTGATTATATATTTTTTATTTATAATACTCTAAGTACGACAAAACTATACAGATCTAAAAATGCCGTTTCAATTGTTATGTCATTGGCCTGACAACCTACACCGAAGATTCTATAAACTATTATAATATAAGATAAACCTACGATTACGGTAGTGCGAAGAGAAAGACCTCTTGACAAATCATAGCAGAAACGCTATCTAGGTCCAATTCACACTTTAAAACTTCCGCTTTGCGAGTGAAATTTTCAAAGAATGCAAGAAAGGGGCCAAGTTCGCTAATGTGCTTTATACTTCTCAGCGTCAAAAGCAATTTTCTCCTCCCGAACTAAAAAGATACACCAAAAAAATACAAGCGAATAATTATTATATTTAAAACTAAAATTCAATTTATGAAAGAAAAAATAAAGTTAGGGGCTGAGAACTTCATCTAATAAGGTATCACCCTCGACTTTGTCCTTTATATAATCTCTACTACTCTCGGGAAGCGCAGGACTGCTGAAGATAAAAACTGAATTCCGTACCTAGCAAGAAAGATGAAATACACGATACCTCGCTTGGATGTGGAGATACAAACGCTCCAATAATGGAGTAAAACAGGACAAAGGGGAAGATGTAGAAGATTTTGCTGAACAAAAAAAGACCCACTGATGCCTTAGTAACCAAGAAATAGTGAACTTTGTGTATCAAACTTTAAAAATAAGATGAACAATTTAAAGCGCTCGACCGGAAGGGAGGAAACCAGATCCAAAACTTTACAACAAGAGAGAATGCTGGACAACCTATCATCGTCAAATTCTCGTCCAACTTCTAGAAAGTGAAGCGCATCAACTAATATTTTCTCCTAACAAGTCCCCACAGGTTTCATAACTAAAAAAAAGGTATACATAAAGATAATAGCTAGAACGCTACCATCTCAAATATGAAAGAGGTCCACCAGGAGGTCAAGGATGCTGGAGAAGATCGCAGCAAGGCAACTCTAAACAAGAAAAGGACCTGGAATATCTTAAATGTACTGATCAATAGAGACTCGAGTAATCAAAGAAAGGACTTTGGAGTGAAGCCGGCAGGCGTTGGGATGCTTCATACACTCGACAATTTTTTCCATTATATGCGGAAGCAAGTGCTGAAACTGGTCCATCTGGTTAGCAAAGAGGATGAATGCTACACGGTTGAGCATAAGGGCCCTCTGCCCGGTTTCCTGCTCCAGATTGCCGAAAAGTCCCAACGGATTCACACCGCCCACCGACCACTCCTGGTCTGCCCAAAACAACAGGAAAAAAGGAGTAAGAGAAAAAAATCATACGCTCCCGAAAAGGTACCAAGAAGTTCTTCCAATAAAGAGGTATCGTTGTTAGTAAGGTTCTTAATGCAGATGCTCCAGAGCCGCAGGCAGATTTCTGTAGTTCTAAAAAAGTTGGGTGCCATAAATATGTCGTGCACTTCTTTTTTCCAGACGTCGAAAAAAGAAAGATTTTCGGTGACGGATGCAATAAAATCCACTACTTCGGCTTGCGCCCAGGGGCGCACACCACTAGTAAACAATAGTAGTATCTAAGCAAGACCTATTATATGACAACCCTTTACTAAAGCTGTTCCTTTCTGACTGCAGTAAAAACTGGACTGAGAATACTCGATATGTAATATGTTCTGTCCTTGTTCCCCCGAGGAAAAACTGTGAGAGGAATAAGAATACGCGAAGTCGGGTGTAGTTGAATTATACTTAATTCAATGGCCTTTAGAAACCGTGTTGTAAATATTTTCAACGCATGCGCCTTCTCGGAGACCTTATACACAGTAGACGTGTTTGTCTATTACTCGTAAGAAAGCTGCATCCTAAGATGACTACAGACCTTGGAACAGGAAAGGGTATCATTTAGTATGGCCATCGAGAGCATATAGAAGACTTCCTATAAGCCGAAGCGCTTAAAGGAAGTGGCCATGATTGTCATTGTTCATTAAAACTACCTGTGCTGGACGAAGCAAACGGCGGTCTCCTAGTAAATTGTGCCGATCGACACACACGCAGAAACAGAGATATTGCCACAACAAGGAGTTCAGTGCGAGAGCAGAAGAGTTAAGCCGGCGGATTAAAGTCAGAAGGGCTTCCCAGATGACCTTCAAAGCTTCGCCGTCACACTTCATCAAGTAAAGGTGGAGGAACTGGCGGTGTTTATTAGGGCGGACAGCGACGGTTACACATAAAGCACCCGACCTCTAGAAGCGAACAGTCAACAGGCTGCTCCTTGCGCTCCAGTCTGCTTTGAAGGCATTGCACAACGTAGCCCGCCTCTCTTCCGTGGAACATAGTTAGCATATGAATAGCAGTATCCATTCTTTCTAAGAGGCGTCGCTAAAAATGTTTTTTTAAAGAAATGTGAAGCTGAGAAAAGACCGGTGGGTGCACGGGATGCACGACATAATTCCTTTAAAGAAGGGCTGACATCTAGAACAGTAGAAACAGAGTAGTCTCAAGGCCCCTCGGCAATTATACCAGGATTGTCTGCTGGCCATAAGGAGAGCACTGAGGCGATAAACTGTTCCGGAAAGTTGTAAAACATAATGTTCAAAATATCTAACACGAGGTCTTTTAGTGTTTTTAAGGGTGCCTCCTAGAACTTCAGTTGTGACAGGCAATAATATTTGCGCGAAAAATAGCAAAAGTTACAATATGGTGGTTCCGGGCCTTTATACACCCAACAGCAGAAAGCAGACCAGCAGGCCATAACGCTTTGGAGGAAAGGCCTTCATTCCACAAAGTAGCTAGAGCTGGGCCAAGTAAAGCGAGTGACCCAAGCGCCTAAGGAAATCTATATACTTTCAGCCATGCAACGAACAAGAACGAGGATAAGCTCCGACACATCCAGGGAGTCCTAAAACAATAATACTTTACATAAAAGATAAAGCCTAAATATAGAAGAAGGGACCAGATTATAGGCTAAACCTTTATTGCCACACTGGTAAAGCCTAATATTCATTGCACTAATAAGGCTGAAGGCACCTTTAACAAAAAGACGCAATGAGCGCTTTCAGGGCATTAGCGTTAATATTATATGGGACCTGATGAACTTCCGGACAACTCAATTTTTTCCATGCGGTCTGGGCGTTTCTCTTGGGGGATGCAATAGCGGAGGAAGCCTACCCCATGCCGGGCATAAGTAACAACAGTACTGCAGGAGACGTCAAAGTGGTCCATTCACCTTTAAGGCCCTCTAGCAAAATGACTGGGTGATGCGGATCGACGGTCAACAAGTCCAGCTTATAACAAAACATAAACTATTAGCTTTGAAGCGAGTGCACACATATGTGCAACGAGCACAGACAGCACCGAGTCGAGGCAACGGCATAGGGACTGTATAGACAGAGTCAGGAGGGCAGCAGAACTCGTACCTTTCAGATTTTTCCTTTAAAAGATGATTTATAATAGCCAGCGTAGTTACCCATAAGCGGTAAACAGTTCATAAGGTGTTCTATCCAGTACTTCCAAACTCTTACTGGCTCTAAACATTTGATTGCTAAATTTAATAAACATGCACGGATCATAGAAAAGCATGCCTTGCAGAGAAAATGCAGTCTTAATGGAAGTTTCATAGGAGATTGTGCAGGTAATAGATGATGAATCACACATGTATATGACAATCAAAAGAAACTTCAAACCCTCAAGTAAAGTAGGCTGAAAGGGAAAAATCAATGACTGAAAATAGTTAAGCTGAAACCAGCAAACCTGTAATTCGAAAACGTTAGATAACAGCGTAGAAGTTAAGCAGTAATGAAGGGTCTCTCGGACAGTTGTCAACCAAGAGAGTAGTGCAGCAGCGCTTTTTGTCTCTTTGCAGCTTACTACAAAGCACGTATTAATAGAAATAGGAGGCCCACTGCCAAAAGTACCAGAAGCAAGTGCGCAAAAAAGTGAGCTCACTAGGTGACTGGCTTGTACACGAAGTTTGGAATTAAGTTGGCGCAACGATAAAGAAGACGACGCCCGAAATTCGCTTTGTATAATCCTGAAGCCTCTGTTAGTCAAAAAGCAGTCTCGCATGAACGAAGAGCCGCAAAGCACCATACTACAGGAACGGCGAGAAGAAGAAAATAAGAATCGATATTGGTAGGAGAAGTGATATCTACAGAAGAAAAGGAAAAATAGAGCTGCCTGGTAAGGCGTAATAATTAACGAAGTATACTCAAGTTATCTAACTGGATGGTGTATAAAGAGAAAAGGTAGCACGCTTCCGAAACATGGACGGTAAGAAGTGCATTCATGAATTCGCATGGATGCTCCCTTATAGAAAAAAGTAATATATATATTAACCAAACAAAAGCGTTAATAAACCTTAGCAAGGACTGAATGGAGTCCATCGCGTATTGAAGTTGAGCAATATCAGTTCGTCTCTCCAAGTAAACAAGAGTTTCCCAAGGGCCACCACCTTCGTTAAGGCGACGGCGGGTTGAGGGATGCAGAAGAATTTCCAATAGCGGGTGAAGAAGACTAAAAACCATGGAAACAGGTGCTTTACTAGAGCGCACCGGTTAAAATATACTTACGAGGGTAAGTTGGCCAAGGCTAGCGCCAGCCAGGAGTGGGCTTCATGCTGGACGGTGACGTCCTCATCGTGGATCAAGTCCTTCATCAGTAGAACTGCTCTTTTTAAAAGGACGGTTCCGTCCTTTCCGCCTTGAAGACCACCTACAAAGTTAACGAGAGGCATGCTAAGCGGAAGCGAGTCAATCAACAACTCAAAGCGTAGAAAAAACCGGATAAACGCCAGAGCGTAGAAAAGCGAGAGGCTGCGGTCAAACGCATTTGCTAGGTATATAAGGTTGCTAAAAAAACAAGCTGTTTTTGGTAAAAAAGGAACCTGTTCTGGGCTGGTAAGAAGTTGACAAACCAGTTTCTCGCAGACAGAAAGATCATCAGCAGTGCACCTGGCGTGCAGTCGATGAAGCTCTGCTCAAATGACGTTATCAAATATAAAATGAAATATTAAAAATTAAAGGGACTTAAGAAATCTGTAACTATTTCGATGGTTTCAACATGGCTAATAGAAGTGGTGGGAAGTAACCATCGCCACAACTAAAAGAGTAGAAGCGAAGTGTGTAAAATAAGAAAAGGAGAAGTACAATTTCGGCTGCAGTCGCGAAAAAAGTCTCTGCATTGTAGACTAATGTCATATCACAGGCCATGAAATCGGAATGACATCGAAAAGCTGAGTGTACTACAGCCCACATGGGCACCTTCAGTTTCAGTAAAAATCAAAAGAAAGAATAATGGAAGGGAGCAAAAGTACAAACTCTAAGAAGGGCCAAAAGACTTTTACAGAGGTCCCTAACCCATGACCTTCCAGCAATGGCATAACTGTCTGCAATGTTAACCTCTGCAACTAATAAGTAAGAAAAAAAGTAAAAAACGTTCTTGAGCCTGCACACCCGCTGGAGTCTCTTCTGGTATCCCACACTCATAGCCCGTAATATCTTCGCCATCTATAATTGTTGTCTCCAGAAAAACGAGAAGAAACTTGAAATTATGACGACCTGAGGCGCAAGCAGCAAGTAGCGACCCCGTTAAGAAAATAATACTTGCAGCTATATTACAGTGCTCAAGAAAGAGAACAGTATAGGCGGGGCTAGAGGCTTCTCTCCATTCTACAAAGGCAGGAACAAGGCGAATAGACAGAAGAGTGGATAAAAATCTAGACAGTCCATAACAATATGAACTCGTTTTCCATCTCACTTTCTATAACCTAGAAAAAGACCTGAAAAAAGTTACAAGACAAATCAGTTGCTTTGACTCAGCAGATTTTATGCGCTCAATGGACTCCAACAACTTCGCACAGAGTTTGTTCAACTGTAGAAGATGCACCAGCGGCAAAAGGTGGCATTGTGACTCAAGGCACGTGACAAGTGCACTGAAAGTTTGAGCAAATGCCGAAGCCAGTAAATCGGTGCTCCGCAGTTTACTAAAGTCCATAATTTGTAGTGTAAACAGAAAAATGGATATGACTTTAGTGTATGGACAAGCCGTCGCCTTAAGGAGGTGTCAAAAGGCTAATGAGTTAAAAAGAAAGCAATATGTATTAACTTTAGCTTCCGGCTCGCCACGGTCCACAACTTCCGGGCTTGGACAGGTGCAACCTCGAGGTATATAACAGTGACTGCTCCGTAGCAGTGGCATGGAATACTTACGCTTCTTCTCCACAGAAGAGGTGAGGTGCTTAAGAAGCGCTTTCGCATCCAACAACGAAAAGAAATGGGTCGCTGCTGCAAGGACTTTTTCCCACTCAGCGCTCATAGTTTCTGCAGTGCTCTTTAGCGACTTTAAAACTGGATCGACAACCTCATCGACGATGTGGTTGCCAATCTGGATTCACATGGCTTATAGGGAAAATGAGGTGGGCACTGGCAGGCGAATAAACCTCCGACTTCTCCACTAAAACCACGAGCATCTTATAAGGCATAGCAAGGGTGGGAAGAGGACGGGCTTTCTTAAACTCGAGCTTAATAGCTTCCACAAGGTGTTCACGCACATGGTCTTTAAAATAGGTAGCTGCACAGTAAAATTCGCATGATTGATTTCTGCCAAAATAAAAAGTAAGCTTTGATTAAGGACCCGAGACGGTTTCGTGAGGTCCAAGAAGCCATTTATAAAGACGGCGATTCAGGGACATGTCCCTCTTCAATACAATGTAAAGTGCTTTGAGAAAAAGTAAACAGCAAGCATAGGAGTGTAAGATTAAAAAGGAAACACTAAACCAGAGGTAAGCACTAGCTTTAGATTCCTTCCACTTAAGCAGCCCTAATATCGAAGTGTCATATAAAATAGATAACCCTCAATCCAATAAAGGTATTACAACCTTTTCAAAGGAAAAATAATTTATTAATATATCCAAAACGTTTCTCACAACGAGCACATTGTTGTCTGAAAGGCACTCTGAAAGGGCCGATGCCGCCACATCCACCGTTATAATGGGAATGATGTGGTTTTATGTAAATCCAAGATATCCAAAAGCTACAAAAAGTACTTCAGATACGTGCGCTGGTGGAAAATGAACTAATTCGTTCTTGATGATATGTGCGATGTATGCTGTGGCGTGGATGCGAATGGAAGGGGCCCAAAAAAGACAACGGAAAAGTGTCCATAGAAAGCACTCTTCGGTCACCTTCGGAAGCAATGGTAATATCCCACTAGCGTCAGTTAACTTACATATAACCTGCTTACACACTCTGTCGAGTAAATCCAGAGTCCTGTTAACAAGAATCCAAGTAAATGGCTTGCTGATGAACTTAAAAAGAAATAAACTAAAAACCTGTTAAAAAATTCTCCACCATCCTCTAGACCAGGAAGTATCGACATAAGGATGGAAGAAAGCAGGGGGATAAGGATGGGCCGAGCGGCAAAAAGTGATTTTCGTATATAGCAAGCAAAGAAGGCTTTATTCGTGAATTGAAATGAACGCGTTGTATGAAAGAAAAGAACTTGATTAAATACTTTAACGCTAATAGGTGCCTCGCTAAACAAAGGCAGTAGTCCAACTGTGTAGAGGTGAATATCATTTTTGAGCTGCACTATCCCAAGACGTTTAAAAAATCAGGTCGTAAACCTTGACCAACAAAATGTTGAAGATGGTTCATTAAAATATTCAAAGTGCGACCTCAAGAGCTTTTAGGTGGACTCCGCTGGGAAGCGAGGGGCTTAAACACTGAGCAAGCTTCTTAGCAACCAAGCGTTTGTGCGGAAGATCCGAAAACGGACGAGCACAACTAATAACCTTGTAAAGTATAACAAGCTTTATTATTCGAAAAACCCTTTAATATAACAAGAATATGTAATACTAACCTAAAAGGAGTTACTATATAACAACACAGTTAAATTTAACGCATTCGGATTAATTGTTTTTTATAAAAATAATGGCTTTATAAAGTCATAAAAAATTTAACTTTATATATTATGCAAAATAAATATTTTAAAAGTTAATTTTATTGTATATAAGGTCGGGAAAACAGTTCTTTAAAAATATAAGTAAAAATAAGTGATGTATTGTATAAGTATAAAATGCCTTATTTAAATTTTGAAGAAAAGAAATTAGGTCAGCCCATTCCCTGGATATTTCGCTGGATTTAATACATTTATACACCGCCGCTGAGTAAGCCTTATACTCAACTTGAGTCTCCAAACGGCCCATCAGAGGTGACAGTAAAAGATTTTGACTTAAGTTAAGACCTTCTACCAAGAGAAGATAAAGCACGGTTACCGCGATTGGGGTTATTCGCCCAAAACCTACCTCTTTACTCTTAAAGGAGGACTCACATTGACTAGGGTATGTATTTAGGCTCTAAGGAAGCAGTTCAATACTAGTCCAAATATAAAAGGAAAAGCTAGCTAACGTGCATGTAGTGTACGCTTTAATCTGAAAAAACGGTCTTTGCTAATTCTCTAAAGCTATAGTTTAATCCAAAGAATTACGAAAAATAAGATTTGGGTCGAAAACAATGAAATGAATTAAACACTCGCAAAAGGTATTTTTGTCCTTTTACTAAGAGAGAACGCTCGATAAAAGGTCCATAGAACGATTTATTAACATATTAACTTCTCACATCCTGGGAGGTACACCTTTTTGTGGCGTGAAATAAAGCTTTAGTTTTACTTGTTAAGCTTCGTGCAATAACAACTAAATAGCCTTACAAGTTCTACGACCCTTAATAAGAGTTCTCTGAAGCTAGCAAGCGACTATGATTAAACTTTTTTTTTTGAGAGCTAAGGTAATAGGAACAAAATGAAGTAAACTAATATGCACGAAAGACAATACTAAGATCTTAGAACAAGAATGAGGCTGAGGCACAACTAACCTCAAGTTGTGCAAGAGGGAGAGTAGAATTTATAAATATGAGCCTAAAATAGCTTTAGAAGTTAGAAACTGGAAACATTTATGAGAAGGAAACTTAAAGAAGACATAGACCATTACTTTAAGTGGTAAGCCTCAAAGAACTTTTTTTTGTTTTAGCACTAGCTCACTACGGTCAGTCTTCAGACCTTAAGCCGCTTATCTGAATTTCCCTCTTCTGTAAGAGTTGGGGCCAGGGCCCACCAGCGTACGCTCTTTAGAGCTTATAATGACAGCCTCGAAGGACTAAAACCCACTACTGGGAGAGGCGACCTTAGACGCAACATCCGAAGGCACCTGGAGACCCCAGCTATGAGCTCCTGGCTATAGGGGAGGGCCCCTTTAAGTGCTCTCACGTGCTAAAAACGCATATATTATTGCGTAATTTAAAAAATGCATTATGGCAATTAAATTTAATCCGACCAAACAAAATAAAGTTGAGGACGCAGGTTAGATGAAAGCACCTTTACTATTGCCTTCTCTCGTTCTTCACTATGGTAGCATTGCTCAGTTTTTTAAGGTCAACCATTGGCATGATAGGCTGTTTTTAATGTCTTTTGGTATTTGTAAGGCTAGCTCTATTTTCGTTGTCTGATTTTTTAACCTTGCAATGCTATTAATTCGTAGGCTTTTAGTGTAACTCTTACATCCATGTTAGATTTCCTTAATAGGTCACTCCAGACTAAACGACTTTTTGATAAGAAACGCCCTTATCAGATGTTGTACAGCCTGTATGTAAAAACTATAAATAATTGTCAATTTATACAAACTTCCTTTTAGTAAAGGCATCCCGTGTAGACGTTTTTTCTTCTTTTTTTGGGGAAATTCGTGCTTATTGTGGCAAAAGACTTCTGTAGAGGTTTACTTACTTTAATTAGTCAGTTGTGCACCTATATATCTTGCTAACAAATAAGCTTTCAGTTCTTATTTAATAAGCTGTATTTTCTGTGATAGCAGCTAGGTCAAAAATACGTATATTTTAATATATATTTCCTTAATCCTTTTGTGTCAATTTTGTTTTTAAGTTCTCTAACCTTATATCGTATATTAGAAATTAGTGGTCGTCTCCCGTTAGCATATACGGCTCGCGTCTTATAACGGTTTTTAAAAGAAAACTCAATAAACGTTTATCGCATCGTGTGTAGGAATGAAACATAAGCCTAAATTTCAATTACCCTTAGAGAATTTTAAAGGAGGATCTAACTTGATTATAAAAGGTGTTTATGCTTAGTGTGTACATTAGCTTCATTTTTGTACAATTTTTCATAGACACAGTGCACCCTTTCGAGGCATTACCTTCTCCTCTACCTGATTTGCTATATTGCTGCCATGATCTAGCATGCGCCCGTAACCTTACTTTCATTGGGTATTAGTATGTAAAATGCGACCAATGCATTCCTTCTATTTTCTCTGTATAGAGCGCTTTTGCTTCCACGTACAAGTTCTGCTTTTTTTTGCGGTCTTTTCTTAGGTTCCATTTCTGCCTGCGCGCAGCTTTAATATAGTTGTGCGTTACCTCCACTCTTGCTCTGAGGTCATAGTTCTGTTAACTATTTTTGTTTTTTTTTCTAGTTACATACTATAATTATATTAAGTTCATCGTTAACGCTTATTACCGCTGGAGAACCTTACGATCTCCAGAATCGTAATTGTTGATTGTTGTTAAAAGGTGGGTCCCAATATGGTTTTTCAATAGGAGACTGACAAAAACAACGGGTGTTATTAAAGAAAATATTTAGAATCAAATATAGTGTTCTTGAACAAACTTTATAAAAGCAACGAGAACTTCTAAATGCTCTTAGGATCAAGTTGGAGAAATTAAACGTATGAGTTCCTCGAACAAAGAAATCTACTTTTGAAAAAATATACCCACCTTTCGTCTCTCTTTCACTGGTGTTCGAAAACATTTTAACCTTTTTTTGAAGGCTACTAGGAATATTATATTCGCAGGATAAATAGTGATAGTGATCAACTTATAAAAATGCTTTTAGTTTCAATGGTTGCATTATAGGTGGGCGAAACTAGAGCATCTAGGCTGGGATTAGAGTCAAGGGCAAAGGGGCTCCAGGTTTTTACGGTAATTAATATTTGAATATAAAAACACTTTGAGCAAAACTTTTGCCAAAGGGCACTAAATAGCAATCTTTTCAAGTGGGCACTCTTCTTTGGTGGATACCCCCTGTTATACTCAAAAAAGGAGTCAATGCCGGTGTAAACTGGAGACAAGATCCATAAAAGAAATCTTATTTCCGGCTTGGTTGCGGTAACCTTAAAAAATGGAGGTAAACAACTTTTTTACCAATCCGATTAATTATAAAGACATGCCAACTAATTCTCCAACTAATGGTTTATAAGAAACATGCTTTTCAGGTTGGCAGGTTGTTTGCAAGCTGTTATGAGCTTTGAGTTAGAAATTTCTTCTGGTTTATCAGAAAGATAATATTAAAAAGAATCTCTTTTTAATACCATATAAGTAACATGATTTCAAAGATGACATTGTCTTTACTTGCATACTTTCTTATCTTCTAAGATGGTGATATAAAGTTTTTCTAAAACTTCTTAAACGGTAAGAGTCATTAAAGGTTTTTAAAGATTTACAATTATTACCTCTTTTTAAAAGTCTATTTTAAGATTTTTAGTAAGAAGTCAAAGTTCCTCTTTAAAAGTATATAAGATCCTTTTTTTTTTTGCGCGCCGTGAAAGGTTAAAACTGTTGGCTGCTTATAGTCCATCTGACCCTGCGCAGCGGAATTAACTTCGCTAAATGGGCAACAATATTTTAAACCTTAAAGAACCTCCAGAATGGCCTTGAGACCCACCCTGGATAGGCACCCAACAGTGAAGCTTTCCCCCTAATAGGTTGTGATGGAGTCGCACCATATAAGTCGTCCACAATCTGCAATAGTTTGTGAGAAATCTACGGCTCTCCGCTGCACAAGTCCACCCTCAGTTCACCAAATCCTCAGCAAGGTACCATAGTCACGACGAAAAGGTATTGGTAAATAATTACAATTGAATGTTGGTACTTGTAGTTTCCCTCGAGTCAAAGCAACGACCCAATCGTAGTAGAGGGTAAGCGTATACAGAGGCAGGCTCGCCTACATTGAACGTGTGTTTCCACCAACGGATGGCAACCTGCCAGCTAAAAAAAAATCCGCTTGGCCCCCATTCTTTTGAGCCGCCATACCAATGGGGCTTCGGTTCGAGCAAATAAATTATACATTTATAGTTACAAGATTTTTTAAGGTACGAGAAAGGGTGTGCACTACTAGAGCTTATATTATGAAGATGTAAATTGAGTTCTTTTCATTAGTTTTGTGAACAATTTTATACTTGTCTTTCCGAATAAATAAATTTAGAGAGGAAATAGAATTGTTCTGGTTTATATCTAAAGCCAGTTTAAATTAGTACACCGTGACATGTGGTTAATAAAAACAGAAAGTTGAACCTTATCACCTTCTACCCATATTAGCAATGTGTTTTAAAGCTTCATAATACGTCGAACATAAAGTGGCTAAACTGGAGCAGCGAAATTTTTTTATAGGAATCAGTTAAATCGTTGGTATAAGATATCATTGGATAGATAAACATTATGTAACAAAGGATGACTCGCTTCATGGTATGTACAAAAGAAATTTTTATGTCTAGAAATTCTTATAAAATATCCTACAGAAATCTACAAGTGTGCAATATTTGTAAAAAGTGATTCCATATCTAGTGGTCGTATAATATTACTACTTTCTATTTAAATATCTTTTAAACAAAGGTAAAAGATTCTCAGGATGTTATTTAAAACTAACGGCCATATTTAAAATGTTACCATTTAGCTAAACCTACCATAGAATTATTATGTTAGGCAACTAAAGGCCTTATGGCTGGATTAGTTCTTTCAGTCAACTTTATGAATGCCAGGCAAGGTAGATAATAACTAAAAGACCTTCTTTCTAAGTCATGGATAACAAATTATAGATAGTTTGATGTATTTATCCTTTAAGATTGCAACTAACTTGGTCGGGACGAATACAGTAAAAGTGGCTTTAGAACAAAATCAGAGTATCCGGTTGTAATAATTAATTCAAGGTTAGTGTATCCAAAGAACTTAGGCAAGATCAGTAAAAACATTGCCTATTCGTGATCTTTCAAGGCGCTGTTTTCTCTGTAGCACAAGCAAAGTGTTACGAATAACGCGATGTTCAGGCACTGTTTACAAAGTTGGACTTAGTCAACACTAACCAAAATCTGCTTTTTTAAGTTTCATAAAATATAAAGTCTTATCCTGTCTTCATTTTTCTCTAAATGTAATTAGTGACTAAAACCATATAATAATAAAAATTAAATAAAATTAATAGTTAATTTGTGTTTATTTCACTTCAGAGAAGACATTTAAACAAAATTTACAAAAAAATAATTAATTTTTAGTTTAAAAAGTCGTTTTTCAAAGAGTTAACGACACTGATATTTCAGGGCAGGGTTTGTGCGGTCATCTCCGCCAGCGACCAGGTATAAGTTATGCTGAATGGACTAATATGCCAGCTACTAAAGATCTCCTGGTGTAGTTAAAGAAAAAATTATACTATAATTTGCTCACCCACCACTCTACTTTTATTTAGATATGCCCGCTGAGGAGACTGTAGCTCCTGATACTCGACCAGATGGTCGAGGGTTTTTTATCAAGTACGATAAATATTCTGAGATGTTTACTATAAAGGACGAAAAAAAGTTCAGCTTAAAGCTTCGACCTCACAGACCGTATGATCTCGAGATAAAATTAGTTAAAGGGGAACAGCAGCAAGTTATATCCACTATCTTCTGCAGGACTGATGAATCTTAAAGAATACATAGACCAAAATTGGATAAGGTGGCTGAATCAAACTCTCCTTCAAGCCCCTCTCGGTGAGGGATGCTTTCTTGGAAAAACAGCAATGAACTTGGACCTTATTGACTATCGAAATCTGAATGCAATAGCCATCAAGAACAGATTTTCTTTGGCCTCAATGGATCACTTATTAACCGTTCTTTCTCGAAGCCCACCTCTTCATGAGACTAGATTTACTGAAGGGGTATCATCTAAAAAGAATAAAAAATAATGAGAGGAAGATGGCTTATCACTGTCGACATGGCCTTTTAAATATAAAGTAGTTCCCTCTGGTTGGCAAATTGGCAGGCCAATTTTCAATACTTTTTAAACGTCGTTTTTAAGAATTATTTCGTTTAGTTTAATGTCAATTCTTTGGAAGCCTTATTGTTTTCAGCAACAGAGTTGAGAAGCACGATGAGAATATTATAAAAAGGTTTAAAAATACTGAGAATATAACCCCTATTTCTAAATTCTTGAAATGCTCTGATGTGAAAAGTATAGACTTTTTAGGATCCTTCATCTTTACATATAGATTCAGGACCCTATAAAAATTATGTACATACAAAAGTAACCTAGGCTAAATGTAAAACAAGTGCAACAGTTTCTCGGTTTTACCAACTTTTATCGGCGTTTTATAAGAAAACTATTTTAGAACAGTAAAGTTTCAAAAAATTTGTTGAAAAAAAAAAAACTGAAGTTTACATGGAACAAGCAAAAGTGTTATCGTATTGCTTAAAGTTTCATTTTTCTCAGCCTCCAAATAATAAAGCGCTCTGATACTAAGTTACCCGTGCCTGGATGAATACTAAACCAATTTTGAAGACGTGAACAATCCGGTAAAACAAATTACCACACTCCTAATAAAGAACTCTTAGCTACTGTGGAGGCTTTGGAGCTTAAAAACGCTATCTTTTACCTTCTGAGTACATCATAACTATACTAAAAGATCATATAAGTTAAGAAATTTTACCCAAGATCGAATGTTAAACAGAGGACAGGTGGGTTGGGTTGCGGAATTAAGTGATTACAATTTCAAGGTTGTAATTCAGCCGAGTAAACAAACATAAAAAGTCTGATGCTCCGTCTCGCACTAGCTACTAGGTTTTTCCTTCAAAGCCAACAACTCTTCTTTCACCGCCCTGGGCCATATTTCAACTTTCAGCACCTCATAAGCATATTTGGGGATAAGATAAAAGTCTTCTACATTTACAGTCTTGATCTTGACAGGAGGTCGCACTTTTTGGGAAAGTAAGTTTATACCTATCTCTTTTAACTTCTGTAATTAAATAACTGTACTATTTGCAATGGCCATTATGATTAAATCGGACTGGCACACGTTGAATATTATTAAACTTTATGTGACCATTACTACTGTCAGTATTTCTTTCTTCGATGGCATTTGCCTCGTAGTGGACTCAGGCCCGGTGGAAAAGTTTCTTTAAATTTAGCTCCGTAATTTTATTCTTTTGCCCCGTCCAAATCACTTTCAATGTCACTTTTTCTACCGGCGTTCCTCTTTTCAAAAACATCTGTTGCTATTCTTGTGCCTTCATCTCCAACTAAAGGCCCCTCCTCAGAATAGTCTTCAAGAAATTTAAAATTGTTGCTTTCAGTATCAACGCCGGGATAGTTACGTTAAAGGCGTGTTTTTAAGCGCTTCCGTGCTTTTAACTTCTTCTCGAACCTCACAAAAACTTCTGCTTCCACCTGTTCTTCTTGTACAAGGCCAAAAATTCGAAAACAGTTTTCGCATGCATTTTTAGCAGAACTCAGCAAGATTCCTTCGGAGTCGTTAATATAAATTATTCCCTTTCTAAAGTCGCGGAAGTAAACAATAGACCCAAACACTAAGTTTTGTTAAATATGGTTTATGGCCCGAGGTTTAAATTAAAGTTAAAACGCAGCTTAGTTCATTGCTTCAGTTCCAAATTTATTAAATAGGGAGTTGGGGGGTTGGGGGTTGGGTGAAATATGTGACAGATGACGCTTCTTATGCTGCGCACATACTCTTATTTCTTTGACTTAAACTCCGTACCATTATCCGTATGCATTTCGTTATAAATACTAGGTTCTAATTCAAAATTTTTTCTAGAAACTGTGCGTCCCTCATATTTCATAAAAAAAATTCTAGACAAAGCATGTTCGTTTGTACACTACGGTTAGTTCCCATATTTCATATATAAAGGATCGGATTTTGATCGTGGAACCTGTCTACTTCTTCACAGAGGCAAATGGGAATAAAATTTGATTTACTCTTTCTTTACTTATGTTCGCTTCAGAGTATTACAATGAAAAATCTATTTTGGATTCGTGGACACAAATATATTTTTTAAGTGCCTAAACCGATTTGTCCTATCTTTACCTAGGTTTTAAGTTACTAGTGCTATTCGCTCATAATTCAAGAAGTACATCCCTTTATTTCTTCGAGTAGTAATGGTTTTTAAAGTTAATTTTGCTAGTGACTAAAAGAATTTATCTTTCTTCGTAGAATTAATAGCTTTTTCGTCGTAAAAACAACGTCCTTATTATGGTCGCTTATTTTTCCAGCGCTATTTATAGTGGTCTTGGAGAAACTAAAGAAACGTAGCCGCTGTGTAATGAACATAATTCCACAGCTTTAGAGAGGTTCACTTGTGCGTTCCACATTTCTAAAAAGACGAGGATCGTTTCAACTTGTCCCCCGTCCAAGGTATACCCACACCGATGATCGCGTTTTTTTTAACTGAAGCACAAATTATTTTTACCTTTTCTAAATAAGCAGTTTTCTGTTAATTAAATACATACTGCAAAACTAGTCACTCGTTTGAATTACTTCCTTGGGCTTTTAGAATCTCATAGCTTGTTAAGGTTAATCATTTAAAGCGCTAATTATTTTTTAGGCTTCCGCTAACTGCATCACGGAAATATAATCTAAATTGTTCCCAAACATATTTCATTGCATTAAGTGTGTTACTATTGCGTTATTGTTGGGGGTGTTTATAAACCTGTGAATTTTCGATTCACCTTAAACGTTGCTATTAGTAACATAAGTTACTAAGGTAAATAGTTGGGCTTGTATTAGACTTTCATTTGAATTTAGGTAGCTTGCGCTCTGCTGCTAATTAGGTGGCGGAAATTTTTATGTTTTTTTTTAACTTTGCTTCTTTGGCATCCCCTTGTTCACGTTACAACATTCTCAAAATTTATTTGCACCTGGTCTAGAAAATAAATTTTTATCGAGGTTGCTTATATTTTTATTCCCGGTTGCCTTCTTTCTTCTGTCCTTTAGGTTATAGTCGTTTAAAGCCTCATTTTTCTACAGTTTAAGCTTCAATTTATATTCTCCAAATTGAAAAGTTTTTTAAAATCTTTCAGTTCTGCAACGACTGTAATTCCATTTTATTACTTTTTTTTTTTCTAATTTTAACTTAATCAGAAGAGCTTAGACTCTCAATATTTTTTAGTAAACGCTATTTCCAAGTGTCCTGGTGACCCTTTAGTTATTAGTTACAACAATTGACATAATTTCTTTTAAACTGGTTTAAGTTTACATAAAACAATTTCAAGTCTTGTAGACGAAACAAACAGCTACAAGACACGGGTGCGCACTTCCTACATTCATTCAGATCAATGTCGTTATCACTCAGGCGCTTTTCTCCGGTACGTAATGCACTATGCTTTAAGCCCACCAAACTAACTCACTATACAGCGTTGGGTTCTATTTTATCGTAATATGGCGTGTGGGTGGGAAAAAAAGGAGTATAAGTTGAAATCTAAATAAAATGATTAAAGAGCAAACACCGCTTTTCAATATGAAAGTTTTTTTGTTGCATTTTAGTTTATATGATACATAGAAGTAGACACGCGAGTGTAAAACTTCAAGTTACAAAAGAATTATTTCTTTGATATACTCTTCTTTTCTTGCGCAGGAGCCACTAAAGAGGTAATGACTAGACGCGGCTTTAACATACAACAACCCACTCGCTTCGTTTAACTTTCCGTTTCTTTTTTCCACAAAGAGGTGTAATTTTGGTCGAAAACGTGAGTGTGGTGGAGCCAATATAACTAAATTAGAAGGTTAAAAGCTTTATTCAAGGTCACAACCATGTGCGTGCTGCTTTTAAGTGGAAGGCCAACGCCGTTACTAGTCGCAGTGCATTCCTACCATTTCTAAGGTTCAGTCACAGTAACGCCATAAAGCTCGAAGGAAGCATTTTATCTGGAGCGCCTATCGACTCTTTGCTTTTCAAAAAAAAGTTCTACGTAGGTGACACTAGAAGCAGATAATTATAATAGAAAAGTTTATATTTAGAACCAGCAAAAGGGTGGCGTCCTTATAAACTTGAGAGGTCCTTTCATTATATGTTTTGGCGTTAGTGACAAGCAGACGAACGTCCCGTTCTAAATCGGCTAGACAACGATACTCTCTGGAGTCGATTTTTTGCTGAAGATTATATAGTTGTACCAAGAGAGGGAGCCCGAGCGAATGTAATAATACCTTTATCATGGTTAAATCTATTAAATTCTCAATGACTTCGTAATAATCGGGATACTCTTCACGACTTGGAAGGCTTATAAACAGCTCTACAACACTTCGTCCGGCTCTAAGAAAGGAAAATAATAAGTGTGTAGTCAACTTTATTTAATAAAAAGGGTTTACATCTTGTAATCAAGAAGTGCGTAGTAAATGCGATTCATTTCTTCGTAAACATCGCTGCTCCCCGAAAACGCTTCATCTACAAGAATAGAAAGTAAAACTCACTCCCCAGCGCACCGCGTTGGCATACCAATCACTGTCCTCTGTTTCTTCCTTCCGCATTTAGCAGTCTTCTTTTTAGACCTCCCGCGGCCGTCTGCCACAAGTTGCACAAAGTTGCTTAGTGGACAAAAAAATATATAAGTAGAAATAAAACCCCTCCTCTTTAAGCCTCTCGCACCAGAAGGTTGGCGTAGAGACTTTAAAGAATGACGTAAATTTTTCTCTGCAGCCGTCTTCCGTTTCTTACGAGTTATTCTATTATATGTCTCGAGGCTGCTCCCTGTCTTAGTCTTTACACCCCGTCTGTAGCTTGAAGGGTCCTCCTTTTCTGGCGTATTTCAAGCAGTCGGCAATATAAAAAAAACAAAATCAGATAAAACAAGCACCTGAGTCGTCTCTATTGACCTTCCCACCATAACATACTTACTAATTTATAAAAAATTATTAGAAGGCTTTGAACCTTCCGTGCCCGACCATTTACATATTTTTTTGTAGTCGAGAAGCTTCCGTACTCTTCCTTCATTGATTCCTGAGAAATAGACATTCTAACGATTTAAGAATTAGACGAGAGTCATTAACGCTGAGTTCTTTGTCGGACGCCGTTTCGTTGTAGTGGATGCCTGAGTGCTCACGGTAGCCTCTGCCATACGGAACAGTGGTAGACTTAATCAAATCAGGCTAAGTAGATATTGTGAACAGAAGAGCATCGTAAACGGGAACCAAGAAACCTCCGGAAGTAATAGCAGCGGCGGCAGTTCACTTTCTTTAATAAATCTGTTTTCTAGCTGGAATTCGACTATTATACAGCACTAAAAGCACAAGATGGAATCCACTAACCCCTCCCGCTTCGGCAATAAGCTGGGCATCGATTTTTTGAAAAAGTTCAAATTCCTGACCAGGAAATAAGCTAAGCAAAGCGCGAGAAAGTTCAGTGAATAGAAAAACCTCGTCATTCCTGGCAAGCATTTCGTTGACTTCCTCCAAAGTATGTGTTAGGTTTTCCCTGCCTTCTTCTTGCTCCTATAAAGAAGGAAGACGAGAGCGTTACCCACAACATTAGAGGAGCTCACCTGGTCTTTCTGGACAAGCTCCTCTAAAAGTTGTCTTCTAACATCCGCCGTAGTTTTATTATCGAAGCGTCCGGCTTGAATAACCTTTAAGGATTGGTAGTAGTAAACATATGCATGACCGAAAGTAGTCTCTCAGGAACCTTAGCGTCCATGCTCAACTTCCTTAAAGCAGCTTCCAATATATACTCCTCAACGCTGTTAGTGGTGACCAGGCGTAGCGCCCTGACTTCTCTTTTTTGTCCTATTCTGTGTGCTCTATCCTAAATTGGGCATTGGTCAATTCCCCCAGGTGAAACTTAGCGAAAGAGAAGTAGAACTTGAGCCTGAAGATCCTGATGGGGGTTCCAGTCGCTATCAAATATAATGACCTGCTCAACGATGGTCACTAGAAGAAGGCGGAAGGAGGCAGAGTTGATGAAAAACACCGTATCGGCAGATTGCAAGTTCAACCCAAGGCCTCCGGCCCTCGTACTCAGCATGAACACAAAATACTCGCTGCGCTGAGTGTAGAACGTTATTGGGCAACTATGTTAGAAGCCTGTTCGTGGCCTACAAAAGCTGACCTCGGCATTAAAAAGGCTAAGCATATGATCCCGCTTTTCGCTGGATGTTGAGCCGTCCAGCCGGAGATATTTATAGGCTACAAGACGAGAATTCGTTGTCACCCCATCAAATAAATAGCACAATGGAAAGCACCTTTCCATTCAAAGTAATCCTCTAATACAGACATGAGTCGTGTCATCTGGCAGAAGACCAGGACACGATGCCCGGAAGCTCTCAACTAATAAAAAAAATAACAGAAGCCGTGTGAAAAACGAGCGGGTAAGAGCACCTTCTCGAAGGTTCTGTCCAGCAACTCAAACTTACCAGAGACTCTGTACAAGTTGCGCCCCATTAGAAACTCAGCAGGCATCATTTCCTTATTGAACTGATATGACGACATGTGGAATTAACTAAAACACAATACGAAATTTACCTCGACATCTTCAAAAAGGTAAGGATGGTTGCAACACTTTCTAAGCTGGACGAGTGTATTGTTCAGCGATTTTGTCTTCATCTCAAAAAATAGGAGGAAACGATTTAGGACAGTTGCACAGGGTCGCAGGAGTTTGGTACCTGCCCTCCAAGGCCTTCGGTGACTATAATTTTGGACTTGATTCTATCGTATAGACGCTGTTGAAGGGGCGTCATCCCAACTTTGATAACGTACTCCTGCTTTTGGGGGAGTTGCGCCTCTACCTCGGACTTCAGTCTCCGCAATAAAAAGGGCCTAAAAGAGGCGGATCGGCACAGGTGGGCTTGGACACAAGGCAGCCAGTGCACACTAACCTCAGCACCTTGTGCAAGCCCCGGATAACAAGAATGGTTTCTTCTGCATTCAGTTCGGCCTTCTCGCCTGCGAAAAGGGCAAATGCGAGTTACTGCAGGAAAAAAGATTTGAGGAGAGCAGTCAACCGGTGTTGGCAAAAGGCCTATTAAACCAATCCTCAAATGTTTGACATGAATTGAATATATCGGGCAGCAGAAAGTTCATAAGAGCCCAAAGCTCTGGCAACGAATTTTGCAATGGTGTTCCGGTGAGCAGCAGGCGGTGAGGGACTTTGATAAAGAGTTCTAGAGGGAATGAGGAACGCCAGTGAGAGTAAACATTACTTTTATAGTAGTCCGCCAGAATCACAGTAAGCTTGGCATCTTTATTTTTTATGCGGTGGCCCTCATCCACGATCAAATACTGCCACTTCACTCTGCCCAGAGATGACTTGTCCTTCATAATGAATTCATACGTCGTTAAGCAGACTTCAAACTCGCTCTACGGGCTGGAGTGTGACAAGCGCTCAAAACTAGAAAGCTATAAGGCAAGTACGGTGCGAAGTTTGCTCTGCAAATATTTTCTTTCGTGTGGCTTTCCTTTATACACTAAGACAGGGATGGAAGGCGCCCACTTCTGAAACTCTATCCGCCAATTGGAGATGGTACTAGAAGATGACAAGTGAAAACCAACTTTTTAAAACATAAAAGAAGTGCTTAACGATAGCGGCACGGCGAGAAGGTAAGGACCTTTGAACTGTTTGACTTCGTGCAGATAAGCAATCAGTGATATCGACTGAATCGTTTTGCCCAGCCCCATTTCGTCAGCTAGAATCCCTGCATTAGCCGGAATCAGTATAGCAGGAAGTAACTTGAAATTACTGTAATGGAACCGTTCAGATTGTTATTGAAAAGCGACACCAGCCATTCTAAGCCTTTCATCTGCAACACATGCAGAGATGAGACGGGAACGGCAAGCAAACAAGTCGATGCCCACTAGCAAACCTGGTAGGGCTTGAGCAGACCGCCGACGAGGATGGAGGGCTGCTGCAAGACCTCCTCCCCGAGACTGTGAGCCAGCATGTAATAAGACCTCTGCCTGCCCCGCTCGTCGTCCCGGTCGTCCTGAGGGTCAAGGCTCCAATGAACTTAAAGAAGAGAAGAATAAGTAGTTTTACACACGTCAGCATCATCCAAGTTAGGGGGCGCCACATCGGGAGCCTCCACCGCGTCCTGCACTTCTCGATTCTTGTGTTCACCTGTGGCCGCTCGCCCTTGCTAAAAAGTGAGAATTCGATGACCAATAAAAAAGTAACATCGACATATAAACAAACTTGTCTCGCTTTCACAAGCTCTTTAAATTTCTGTACATACGCATCCGTCTGGTTTAATAAGTAGGCCAGCCGCGAGTCCTTTTTTTCTTTTACAAGCTTGCGGTATTCGTCCTCATTGTCTTCCTACATCAACTTGGCTTGTTTCATAGACTGGTAAACAAAGAGCGCGCGTCAGACCATGAGCATCCGCATGCGCTCCCTTTCGAGGAGTTGTTCTCGCCTCTTCAGCTCCTGCTCAAGTGCTTGATGGTGACGAACCATGGAAGCAACCACCTTGGAGAGCTCGCCGCGACACTGACAAGGAGGAGATAACCATAGTTAAGGAGAAGCTGGGAGCCTACGCAAAGCTCGTGAAAACCTGACGATGGAAAGAGATAAAGTCAGCAGCGCCCTGAACCACCGCTTTCAAGTACTTTTCTTGTAATAAACGTTTTTTGCTTCGCTAGTAAAAAAAGTAGTAGAATATGGCTTCACAGAAGTAATAAAAGTATACAAGATTGGCGATATAGCGTGCTTCAAACTGGTCTGTGGCTGACAAGTCTCTTATATAACTAAAGCGGGCACGCAAGGTACTAGTTCTTTTACTCAAGGCATAAAAAAAGGAGTTTTTCTTTTCGTAAACACACACATCCCTCCGCACCTACAGTAATTAGTGTTTCAAAGAGTGTAAAAAAGAAATAATACGAGATTCTAAACACCTCACTTTGTAAGTTAGCCAAGAAGACCCCTCTTAGATCTAAAAGCAAAGAAAACTTGAGAGAAGGAGATAAATCGGAGGGGAGAGTTTCAAGTTGATTGCGATAAAATGACATCTTTTTTTCAACCTGAATCCCCAGTAAGCTGCAATTGAGCAACTCCAAAAAAATATTATATAGAGACCACGCTCCCAGGTTTAACTTTACTAAAGCTATCAAGGTAGTGTTCATTCTTAGTCATAAACTTAAAACGCTTTGAAAACTCATCCGGTAATTCCTCTGACCGAGAAAGAATACGGTAAAGGGAAAGCTGATATAAGGGAAAACCATAAAAAAGTATCAAAAAGAATAGTAACCCGACAATGTACTAACCTGAAAATTCAATTGTTTCTGTTGATCTGCCGAGAGTTCATCGGAAGAATCTACTAAAAATTCTTCAGTATTCATTTAACAGAAGTTTTTTATCAAGCCGCCTCTATTAATTTTCCTCAACCTTTTTTTTTTTGAAAGATGGACTTAATAAGGCTGATTAATGAAATTACTATGTTTCAATCGTTATATAAAATTTTTAATGACCCGAAGTCACTTAGCTGTGACCAACACAACCCTGAAGAAAAAGATAAAAACCACAGAATGCAACTACCCCCATTAAGTTATTGAGCTCAGAAAATTAATGGAGGGATGTTTCCCGCGTCAATAAAAACTTCTCACTGTAATGTGAGGGTTACTCCCCCCGAGAGCATGTCACCTGCAACTGATAAGCACCTTATTAGGTTTTTCTTAAAGATGGTATGAGATTTAATAAAAGAATAATAAGACTTAAAAAGATAAGAACTAAAATATATAAAAAAAAGAGAGAGTAGAGCACAAGATTCTCCTTACTACCTTTATTCGACAACGTTCCTTAAATATATAATTAATTTTAAATCTACTAAGAGACTCGGTTTAGACAAGATAGATAACAGTAGCGGATAACAACTCACTGTTGATTGATTTTGATAATATATATTGAAAGTTCTAGAATTAGTAATGGCCCCATAGACGATTTATTAGGGTTTAATTTCATAATTTTTTAAGTATTTATAATAATAGAACTTGCATTAATTTTTAATTGTTGAAAAAGAATATAGTTTTATAGTTACTCTGAATTTGATTGGCAAGTCTCTCGGGAGAGTTAAAAATTATTAGACTATTAGAATCTTTTAGTCCTTCGACTTACCTTCACGAGACTAATCAGCCTTCTATGCCAATAGTGGACGCCCATTTAAAAAGTTTAGAAAATTATTTTTAGAGATATCGAGTTCTATAACCCATCTTCTGACCTCAGGAACTACTAACAATTCCAAGTGGGGGACTTAAGTAAGTTTTAATTAAAACGTAGGTAAGTATTTAACGGGAAAATATAAATATAAATACTCGGCCCATAAAACTGCAAAATTCACTATTCAATATGTTGGATCACGTGGTCTGTAACTAAAAATATTAAAATCAATAACTCTTAAGCAATACTAGTTGCTAGTGTCGTATAGTCCAAATTTTTGGACTTTCTTTTTTATAAATTATGACGTCTTTTAAAGGTAAGCTGCAGCTCGCCGTATTTAATTATATGAATTCTTATACAAAATACCTTTATTAAAAAAATTAGATTATACTCAATTTTACTGTCTTTTCTAAGAGACCTTTGTTATTGTCTTAAAAAGCTTCTTACGTAAAAAAATTTTATTTGTTTTTAATACAATGTAACCCAGTAAAGTAAATCACATCTCTTTATGAACATCATCCAAACTATATTACTGCTCTAAAGACCAAGACACATTTCGACATATTTGTACAGCCAGTTCTGTAAAAAAATAAATAAAGTTGCAGTTTTAGTCAATGGGGTTATAAAATGGCTTAAAAAACATGCTTATGATGTAATAACCTCGAATTTTTACTCCTGGATACTGAATCTGAATCATCTCATGTATACTTGGTTTTCTTTTAATTTTGTTTTAAATGAAGTCTCAATTTGTATTAAATTTTAGTATACTAAATAAAAAACTATTACCTTAGTGGTCTTGGAGGCTCATACTCTCTTTAAAACAATAATCTGGGTCCCTAGACCACGTTGACCTACTAAGACAAAGTCCTAAAGCCCCTGATGTTGAAAGAATAAAAAAAAAGCGGGAATGAATATATATAATTTGCGTATTTGAAGTGTTAACTTTTCTGCTACTTAATTAGCATCAATTAGCTAACCCTCGCATCAGTAATTCGCAAATTCGTGCTGTAAGGAGATTGTTATATCATAACTAAATAACTTTTTGTCACGAATTTAGTAAATCGCATCGATCTCTTTTTGCTTTTAACCACGATGGTATAAGGTGCATGTAAGGTTACTAAACTCCAGAGAATTTTCTTTTTGCCCTTGTGACCTTTTTTAATGCAAAATACTTTCGTGGCGGGTGTACACTTGGCTACTAAATTCTATATAAATTTCCTACAAGGTTCGGGAAGCAAAAATGATGTCGTAAATTTTATAAATTTAATTAATTTAATTTTTAAACGCTTAAGTTTGTGGTTAATAATATAGTTTTTCTTTATTGTTATCTAAGTATGTATTATTTTAAACTGGGTTATTATTTCTCTCTTAAAATTATTTATTGATTTATTTGTGCTTTTTTTTATAAAACCTTTTCATTGCAGATAATATGATTATTTTTTTGAGCAACTCTATTGGTATGGGCTCGGCTTTACGCATAATGAATATAATTATAGCTAAATTGTAAAATTTAAAATAAATTTGGTTTTTTTGACAAAATATTATGTTATAACTAATTTATAATCTTTACCGTGCAGTAAGGTATTATATCCTATTTAACTTTTTTTTTTCTATTATTGATCTCGGACACATTCAGTATACATTTTTTTTTTTTACAGTGCGTTCACTGTGTACCTTAAACAATAAATAACATTTTCCATCAGATTAGTTTCTCAACACTATGAAACAATGGTAGCCTACCTCGCTTAAAATATGACTTTAACTGTTATAAACAAAGTGAAGATTATAACGTTCTAAAGGAATAAAAAGCGCGCGAAAGTTACAGCAATTAGAGTATAGAAATTCAAAGACGATAAAAATGATAAGGTAAGTAAAACTTATTATCCGTATCTATAGTACTACTAGCTAATAACACTATGCAGAGAGTGCCTATACTGTACATGTTTATCACACATATAGTACAAGCACTTTTTTCACTGATGTCTATCAAACAACGCTAGTGCTATACCTATTATTCATAAGTATAATACTAGTACTATTCTTCTAGTGAGCGCCCAGATTTAGTTCGAAGGTAAAAAACCAAAAGACAAACTGGACGCCACCAGCGGCCCATGAACTTAAGCTAGTACCATTATGTTACTCATTACAAAAGTTTGTTCGAGCAAACGCTTTCGCACGGAGTTATCAGCTGGAAGTAGAAGTATCTATGTAACTTATCATGTGTCCCCAAGATTTCACTTCAGGTTCTTCATGATCTACTTAATTGCCTCTAAATCTAAAGGCAGTGTACACAGGTACAGAAAATATGAATAGTGCAAATATATTAAATTAAACTATAAGAACAAATTGAAAACAAATGAGAATTAAACAGAACAGGCAAGAACAAAAGTAACGCGCTTTATTATAAAGAATATATAACAAAACCTAATATTCTCCCACTAGGGAGGGGCTTGCCATAAACTTATCCTAGCAACAAAATTACTCGTGCCTGCCAAATAGGGTACAAAATTCAGAAATTCTAGGACCATAATATTAACCACTCAGCGTTCTTTGCTATGAATTGTTATTCAATGACTGATCTCGCTTTCCTTTTAGGGAAACGTT